TAAATCCATGTCAATTCCCCAAAACAGGTTTGCCAACGTCCAAACGTCTTCGCATCAATTTACTATCTAGTAATGCTCTCAAGTGAAAGCGACCAGGACCAGAAACCAGCTGGCCCAAAATGGGTCAGCCCGACAAACATGTAGAACAAGAACGCATCCGCGAATTGTCAAGGTCCGATCGCTCACTTTCGTCATCTCCTCGGGTGATCAACACTAACCAAACCAAATCGCACAGATACTACTGTGTCTTCAATCGAGATGTACCGCCCGATCACGATCACCAATATCAGCAAGGCCACGACCACGAGCAACCCCCGCCTCTCTGCCTCTCAACAGACACAACCCTCACAGCCCTAACCCAATTAGGCGTCTACCGCTTCGCCTGCAACAGATCCTTCGTCTCGATCATCGACGGTGAAAGCCAACACCTAATCTCTGAAGCAACATCCTCCTCCTCCCTAAAACACGTTACAAAACACGCACCAAATGATGGAATCTTCCTCGGCGTCCAAACTCTTGATCTCCAATGGGGCGTCTGCCCGCACGCCATAGCCCTCTTCACAGGAGAGGATACATCAACCATCCAAGATACAGAAAACGTCACCGCGAACCCGACCCGCAATATCATCCGCGATTTCACCAAGGAACCATTCTACAAGGATCGTCCTTATGTAACCGGCTGGCCGTATTTCCGTTTCTATGCTGAAGTCCCGCTTTACAGCCCGTCGGGGTATGTGCTTGGATCGTATTGTGTTGTGGATGATAAACCGCGCAGTGGATTTGGGGATGAGGATGTGGAGGTGCTGAGGGAGATTGCGGATGCGATTGGGGCGCATCTTGAGAATGCTCGTATCGTGCAGTATCATCGCCGTTCTGAGAACCTTGTTAGGGGGGTTGACGGGATTTGTGAAGTGTCATTCGAAGTTTGATCCGACAGTTAGTTCTACGCAGGGGATGTTGGAGGGGAAGGCGGGGAGGCTTGAGTTGTGGGAGTCCAAAAAGGCTGTCCGTGGAGGTAGTGGTGATATGGGCGAGACGAGTGTTTCTTTGAATATGGGACAGGATGTTGTTTCTTACACTCTTGGGAAGACTTCTCCAAATGGGTTCACCAGGAAGGATTCGTCGATTTTCTCGAGGGATGCTGGTTCTGCGTCTACGATGCCGTCTTCTATTTCGCGCAGTTCGTCGGAGTTGTCCGAGCAGGTTTCTGCTGGGTTGGAGGGGCCGACGGACTCGTCTGCTGTGGAGAATTTGCCCATCTCTGAGCGGATTGCTGCTATTTTCACCAGGGCTAGTGGGCTGTTGAAGGATTCATTGGATTTGGATGGCGTTGTTTTCCTCGATGCTTATCGGAATGACCCTCAATTGTTGGTGATACTTCCCTTGTGATTGAGTCTTGCTAACTGTTCTTTAGTGAAATGCCTGCGCAGACCGATGGCTGGGCTGATTTACCAAGTTTAAGTTCTGACGGAGAGACTCCTATTACTCCACGCCCTACACACCTCGGTGTATCTGATAAAATCTTACCAAAAGATACAGAGAGATTCTGTGGCTTCTTGGGCCATGCTCTCAGCTCATCAAATGGCAATAACGACCCAAGGCTCCAAGCTGCAGTATCGGAAGAGCTGCTGCATTTGTTAATTACGCACTTCCCCCAGGGTCATGTATTCACCATGGACAGCGTCACGGGTTATGATGATTCCGAGCCCTCCGCAGATGACAGTTCCGATGCCTCGCCCCACGACTCAAATATACTACGACATATCTCTCATCGCCTGGCCCGTCGCCTCCCAGAAGCTAGATCTGTCCTTTTCTACCCGCTCTGGGACTGGAACAAGTCGCGGTGGCTGGCCGGCTCGTTAGTGTGGGCTAATAGCAACCTGCGCCCTTTGGGCATGGAAGACCTACACTACTTCCAAGCGTTTGGTGATTCTTTGGTTTCTGAAGTTTCTCGCATCCACTGGACCGCCAGCGAGAACTCAAAGTTTGACTTCCTTTCTTCTGTCAGCCACGAGCTTCGCTCTCCCCTTCATGGAATCCTGGCTAGCGCTGAGCTGCTGCAGGATATTTCGCTTGAGCCTGCACATCGAGATATCGTGAAAATGATTTCTACTTCTGGGCGAACTTTGCTGGATACCATGAATCATTTGTGAGTTTGTATTAGCGATTAGCACATGGTAATTTTGTTAACACATTACATCACAGGCTCGATTTCTGTAAAATCAACAACCTGAAATCAACACCGAAGACCACCAAAAGGACCAAAAGGACCAAAAGGACCAAAAGCAGGCGTGTCAAAGACGAGATATCTACCCTAGTTTCCGAATTCAGTCTCGGAAATTTAGTCGAAGACGTCGCTGTCATACTACACACCGGCCGACAAGCGCCCGGAACTCTTTCATTTATGGCAGATGAGGAGGCACCCACTGGCTCCTCTCATTCTACCTATCAGCACCGCAAAACCGAAGACGAGCTATCTATGGTAGTCCGAATCGAGCACACAAACAAATGGATCATCCGCTCAGTCGCCGGTGCCTGGAGAAGAATCGTGATGAACCTTCTCGGCAATGCAATGAAATGGACGTCGGCCGGATTGATTGAGATATCGCTATCAACAGCCACAGACCAAACAAATTCGGCCCCTTCGCTTGCCCATCTCCGCGTCGCAGATACAGGCCGTGGCATTGCCCCAGAATTCCTCAAACATTCCGCCTTCTCACCATTCACACAGGAAGATGCTCTCTCCGAGGGTGTGGGTCTTGGCCTCAGTGTTGTGCACCAACTCGTGAAGTCATTGGGTGGTTATATCAACATGAAAAGTGAACTGGGCGTCGGGACTCAGGTTGACGTTTATATCCCTGTTCAACATTTAATTGATCCCGTTCCGGCCAATATGGTTGATAGCCCTTCGCAAGAAACAACAGCGAGTCCGAAGAATTCGCTCAAGGCTTGTCTCGTTGGATTCAATGCTTATCCAGATTTGACAGAGACACCTACTGGTATTTTGAGCTCCGATGCTAAACGAAAACTTGCTATCCAGAGTAGCATTGCTGGTGTGCTGATGGCACAGTTGGGATGGCGGATTTCACTGGCTGAGTCTCTTGAGAAAGGTGATGGTGATGTTGCTGTCATCGAGGAGGCGGCGTTTAGGGCTTTGTCTCAGGGGTACTCGTCGCCCACTTCCTTGCCCAAGCATCCGTTCAGATTCTTCATTGTCTTGGGCAGCATGGCGTCTTTGTTAAGCAACCAGATCCCCTCTAATGCCATTCTAGTCTCGCAGCCGTACGTCTCCGTACACCCTGTCTTATTTGAAACCCAGGCTAACCTATTTCGCAGATTCGGTCCGCAGAAAATATGCAAAGCAGCCGAAAGAATCATGAAGCTTTACGACGAACAACTGCAAATCGAAAATTCCGCCAATACCGAAGCGGTTCCTCCTCCATCCATACCAGAGCAACCCACGGCCCACTTACCCGATGGGCTAAACTCCATCCCACGACAACCATCCGCTCCCTTAGTAGCACAGACCGAGCTCCCTATCTCTCCACCACTGCATCCAAAGAAACCAATCCTGTATGTGAACGTCCTCATTGTCGATGATAATGAGATAAATCTGAAGGTGAGTTCTCTATTATCACCCCTTATTTTTCCCCTCAATCTAACAAACATCAATAAATCAGATCCTCGCAACATTCATGCGCAAACTCGGCTGCAGCTACGACACAGCTTCAAACGGCCTAATCGCATTCGAGATGGTCGAGTCTTCAACCCGGAGATACGATTTTATCTTAATGGGTGAGTGGCACACACACAGTGACACCAAAGCAAAGACAAATGAACACTAACAACGTTACCTGTTCCTCCAGATCTATCAATGCCAGTAATGGACGGCCTAGTCTCAACCAGCAAAATCCGCCACCACGAAAAAGAAAACGGCCTCAACCCATCCTGCATCTTTGCTGTTACGGGCGTTGCATCTGATAATATGCAGCAGGCAGCTGTTACTGCTGGTGTCGATGATTATTTGATTAAGCCGCTTTCTTTGAAGAAGCTTAGTGGGCTTATGAGGATTTCTTCCTGAGTGCTTCTTTCTTGGTTTTGTTATAGCGCTTAGCTGGGTTGATTTGATGAGGCTCATTGCGAGGCTCAGCGCCAGGTTGTACGTCTTGCATCTTTCTTGTGCAACTGGCTTTTTTTTTTTTTTTTTTTTTTTTTTTTTTTTTTCTTTTCTTCCATGCATTATGCGTTTGGTGTTGGGTCTTGCCTTATTTTACTTTTCAACTTTTATACTAGTGTTCATGCTAGCGCTGAAATACGCAGATTCAGGCTTGCTTGGAATATCTGCCCTGGCTGCTAGTGTGAAGTGTTTTTCGGGGCCTTGATTGGCACCCCAATCAGCGGTGTATCCCAGTATGGCAGATTCTGACAGGCCTCTATGTTCAGTGGGATGGTGACAATGGTGGATAGTCTCACGGTTTCCCGTTATCAAGATCATCTCAGGCAAGGGGCTGTGGTCTAAATATTGAGGATTGAACTTGCACGGTGCAGGATAGCAACATCTCGAAAAGTTTGCCATTCGGTGTCTATGTCAAAGGGGTATAGTTATTCATCTCATTGTACAATCTTCTGCTCCACGTGTTAGATTCGACCCCTTGGTCAGATTGCTTCCCAGTGCTCTTATAGAGCACGTCACTTACATTTACAAACGTATGTACGTAGGTCATTTTATATCCAAAAATCACATCCGTAGATTGTGTGCTTGGATATCAAAGTGATACCCATAGAGCCGTAATTTGCGGAATAACATTCCATACAATATCTATATATCCATGATATAGCACAATTTACAAATCAGTATAATGTCGATTTGAGGGCAGATATACTCGAATTAAATGAGGTACCTTACCAGAATAAAACGTACGCTTGGTAACATGCTAACTGAAAACAAATGTATACAGATCGCCATCAACTATCAACAGCCATAGTAAGATGTAAACACATCACAGCTCTGCTTCATCGATATCATAAGCCAAATGCTTTTGTCCAAGTCCCAATTTATCCAATCCCAATGTCCAGGAGAGGTTTGAGACTACACCCCATGCGCTCTCCTTTATCCACAAGCCCAATGGGCCTGTCTTTCTTCGTGTACTAGCATTCTTCGCAGCTTGAGCATAGATCTCATTCACGCGAGGGCGACGAATCTCATCGAACTTTGCAAGCACGTCAGACAGCGAGCGATTCGAATCCTCCAGCAGTCGCGACAGCAGGAAGGTATCTTCAAGGGCCATGGAAACACCCTGTCCAGCATGCGGTGACATAGCATGAGCCGCATCGCCAAGCAAAAGACACCGACCCTTATACCACTGACCACCAACCGGTAGCCTGTAGATCGGGTGAAACTTGATGACAGTAGTCTTTCTCACAAGGCTCTTCACAATCTCACCCCATTCTCCATGAGAACCCTCAAGAATCCGCAAAAGATTATCCTTGAACCCCTCAACCTCAGCCTTGCGATGTTCCTCCCACCCATCACGACTGTCCCCAGAGTCAGGAAGAGCAAACTCTCGGGAAAAATTCCACATAATCTCATCCTTGTCAGGGGTACAAGGATTAACCAGAAACATGCCCTCCTTAGTCATCATAGCATGCAACCCAGTCATACAATCAACAGACCCAGCAGGCAACTCGGCAGCCGGAATAAGCGAAAACGAACCCGCAACTCCAGAATACTCCGGCTCCTGCAGCGGATCAACATATCCCCTGCGCACCTGCGAGTGAATACCATCACACCCAAGCAGCAAGTCGGCAGTATCACTCGACCCATCCTCAAACAAAACCCTGACTCCTCCATTAACATCCTCAATTCCCTTCATCCTAACCCCAAACCGAACCTCAACCCCCTCCTTCTTCACAGCCTCCAACAAAACACGCACAATATCAACCCTCCTAATCCTTAAATACCCAAACCCGGTCTGCTCTCTCGCCCAACCCACAGAATCCTGCATCCCAACCACACCGCCACGCATCGAATGCAGCGTAAGCTTCGAGCCTGCATACCCACAGCGCGAGAGGTCATCATAAACGCCCAATCGGTCGAAAAGCCGCAGGCCGTTGGATAGAATTGCAATCGCCCCGCCGAGCGTGGTTGGTTCTGCGCGTAGCTCGTAGATCACGCAGGTGATATTGTTGTGCCTGTGCAGACGCAGCGCCGTTGCGAGGCCGGCTGGGCCTCCGCCGATTATTATTGCCTGGGATTGTTTTGTTAGGGGCTGGGATTGGGTTTTTTTGTTTGCGTGGTGGCATATGCATGTGTTGTGTGTCACATATGTATGTATATGCATGCGGATGGGATGGTTTGCCTTGCTTACCTTGCGGATTTCGGGCATAGTTCGGATTTTTGGTTTGATCCTTGAATTTTTGGATAATTAGGTAGGTTGTTGGTTCTGGGAATAGTTTGTTCTATTTTATATTGGGTTGCGGTATACTTCGCACCCGTAGGGTCCGCGGTAAATTACTGCATTGGGTAAGCGCAACCGCGGAGGTCGGAGTGATACCCAGCCACAGTTGCGAGCCTCAGGCCAAAACTGGAGGCCAAGATTAGACTGACTAGACAGCACAAATTTAGTATAGTGGAGCCCTCAAACATTTGGAATCTAGTCGGACTGTGTGAATATCCCACATATTCTTTTACTGGAGAAATGAGTTAAAAATATATTAAAGCAGAACTAAAAGCAGCCGCAAAACAAGACAGAATATACGCTTTGGGCGTACATGCTGACTGGCCACTGCTTACAGCACCCAGACCTCGTCCACACAGACAGCATTGGGGTATATGCAATGCAAGTCCACTCTAGCAATGCAAGCACTTCGGTAGGAGACACGAGACAAAGTTTCAAGTTGACAAGGCTGTTCCATGCATATTACAGGTTCCCGCCAATCTAATTGGCCGTCAAATCCCCGGTGGAGTTGAGGATTTGGAATTGTACACGAAGTTAACGGGTTGCATATGGTATGGGTTGCCTGACATGGTCCTAGCGCGCGAAATTCCAAATTCCCCTAGACATATGTACAACCCGCCCCTGAGGTGTTCTTCCCCCTCTAAATATTCGACAATGACAATGACAGTTCACAGATAAACGCCCATAAACGCCCAGATCCAGGGATATATGATGAGTTGCTAGAGTTGCAACAAGAAAGGAAAATAAAAAATGAAAACGGAACCCCGACAATATCGAACAACCAGGGCAGAGGTATTTCATACCAGAACGACAATCAAGAGTCGAAAATCGGGCCAAACGCCGGGATTCCTCGCGCTTCAAGCTCATACACAATTCGCCCCGTCAGCACAGGGTTACTGATCACGCACACCGCCTCTGCATCAAAGTACTTAATCTGCTGCAGGATAATGGGGACCATGTCGATGCGGCCACACTGGTTCGTGTCCATAATGATGGGAGCACAATCCATCCGATGCACCATCTCCATCACGCCGTCACCGTATGTTTTGAGAGGCGCGCGAGTCTGCCAGAGCACGCGCAGCGCGGGCCGGTTCTTGTCGCCCAGGAAGGACAAGCAGGGCCCGATGCCTGAGCCTGTTGTGACGACGATTACGCGGCTGAAAACGCGCATCGCGTATGCAAAGCCGTGTGTCAACACGCCTCGCTTCCAGAGGTGGGTTGGCGGTTGCTGAATCGTGTTGGTTGTCCAGTCGCCGGCTTTGGAGACTAGGCATGAGAAGCTGGATGGGCCGTCCATTCCGGCTGGCGTGTCTGGGAAGGTAGCGAAGCTGTGCCAGTCGCGGAGGGGTGCTTGGCTAGTTGGATGCCCTTTGCGAAGGTTGTTGTCGTGTGGTCGAAGTGGAGGCGGGTGGCGTGGGTGGAGAGAGGCTCGGCCCGCACCGCGACCTTGCGGAGGAAGAGCCAGGGCTGAATGATGGAGATGACGGTAAGAACGAGGAACCAGAAGGCTGGGAGGGTGACAAGGAAGTTGCCGAGGGGTTTGTGCATGGATTGGCTGGCTTCGTGGGCGAAGACCATCAGCAAGGCAAGGAACAGGGCTACGATCAGCCACCCCGAGAAACGGTGGGTGAGTTCGAAATAGTCGTGCCGTTTCATGCGGAACGTGGGGTGTGCCACCACGACTATCGCTAACAGCAGGACCAGGATGATATACGCCAACGTGACTGGCGCGGCGGAAAGCCGGATCATGGCCGAGGCTGGCGTTGTTGCCCAGTACTGATGGGACAGGACGCCGACGAATCCCACGTACCAGACGAGTGAGGCCACTCCACAGCCGCTGTGAACGCCACCATAGTGGTAGACTTTGGCTGCTATCTTGCGCAGGGGCAGTGGTGCTGACCTCGGCATCGAGCACACAACTACGAAGATGGCGTTGACGACTAGTGGTTGCCGGGCCAGACCGCAAGCGAGCAGGTTGGCGGCGGTGGCATTGACTAGGGCTAAGAGCTTCTGTTCTGTGGTCATGACGGCCACAAAGACGGCGACGTTGGCTAGGAACACTAGCGTGAACAGACGTCGGTATATGGTGAGAATGGCATAGCGTGTCGAGGCAAACAATTTGGGCTTGGTTTGGGCAGTCTGCGCCTCAAGGTCCATGTCATTTGGCCTAGTGGTCTCGCTTGAACCTATCTCTCGAGATTGGTACTTTTCGATGGTCTTCTCTTCAGTGAGAGTGACCTCGCTGGAGGAGGCCGAGCCTGCCACCATAGCCGGTGGAGGCATGGTAATGGATATAGGACGTTTCTCTGACATGATTATCGGCTTTGCTGGGCTGGCATATAAGAGTTGGAAAGATGACTAGGATATTGAACCAAGTCAAGGTTACAAGGGAAGAAGAATGTGAAGACTGAGTTGACAACCCAACCAAGGCAGATCCTCCATTTTTGAAGTGATGATGCTAACGCTCCAGAACTCAGCTCGCATCTTCTCCTCCGCCCCTCATGCGCCCTTCCCCTCCCTTCTCATTCCCAATTGAACCTTACCATTTCCCTTTCGGGAAGCTCTGCGAACGGCGAAGCCCTAAGTCTTCCCTTGATTCCTTGTTTTTTACTTTTTCCTTTCCTTTCCAGGGTTACGGAATGCATTATTGATTCCTGTCTAGGTGTATGACTCTATCACACTGGTCCAGACTTGAGACTAGTGAGCTTATCCTTGCCAATGAGCTCTCAACTCCATCCCGCTCTCCCACTCCCTTACGGCTCAGGCAAGCCGAGGGATGGCACCATTGGAGCCACGACAGAACCTGTCGAATATCCATGATAGTGTCTAAGAGTGGACACTCCCTACCGGGGAATCGGAGACGGGATAGTTCGGAAAGGGCGATTTGAAAAAAAAGTTTACGTTCATTGGGAACAGGATGTAACCCAATCAGGGAGTATATCACCTCATGAATACTCGTGGTTAGCCCGAGCGAGATACGACACAGTTTACTATCACCTATCACGAGCCAACTGCACCCGACACACCAGGACCGGCGTCCTAGCTTCAACAAAGGTGGCAAGCTAGTCGGAGAAGATCGGCTATGACACATGACCCCAGCTACACCGGCGGCCATCAAGGCTTCAATAAAACTGACGATCCTGTTCTAGGGATGACGATAACCGATGATCAAGCCAGGTCCTCTTCCACTAGGAAGGCATCTACAACGCCTCCAAACAATGCCAATGTGGGTTAATGGATGGTGGCGGCATCCCATGAGGAAGTATGCATCAAGCTGAACAGGCGAAACGGGAATATTCGATCCACCTTTCGTTTCTTTTTTTGGCAATCGATCATTCAGCTGAATGTGACGGAATCTCCAATTCTTTTCGCCCCTCTTGTTCCACTGTGATGCACGGAACCCCACCCAGCGCCTAGGGCAAATGGATGCACGGGTGCTGCATATCCGAGTGGGATTGGCGTCCGGTTTCGTTAGTCGATCTGGACCTGGGAATGCCGGCTCCGCGGGGAAAGGGATCGCCTTGATGCAGATTGGGCATCGATCTGAGCCCATTCTATCTTACCGTGGGAGAGGACACCCCTTCGACGTTAGGCTGAGATTACAGGAGTGACGTGTGTGTAAAGTACTGTGCAAGGTACTGTTGGTTTATGGTACATGGGTCGTGGGGCCGTACCTGCCGTAGCTGGTTTACGGGTTAACCTCCCCTGTTCCGCAAGGGAAACGCTCGTGGGAGGGGGAATAGTCATCTGAATCATTTATTGTAAAAATCAAAAAATCAAAGGAAACCAAAAAAAATAAAAATAAAAAAAGAAAAGAAATAATGAAAATAAGCTATGCATGTCACGATCTCGATATCTAACGCAAGGTATGAAGGGAGGTGAACCGAGCGTGTGGCTCAGTAGGGGCTGAAATGGCAATTATTGAATTTGGAATATTGACGGCCCACGGTGAACCACACTAATTTAGTTACCTGTTCGGTGGATCCTTGTTCATGACATAGTCATCCTGTTCACGGAAATTGATAGTATTTTCTCTCGGCATTTTTGCCTAGTCTTTTTTTTTAGTGAGTTTACAATTAATTAGGCTTTGAAGGATTCTCAAGGGCAAAAACATGCGAGATGATACTGACGCAAGTGGAAATCCTCACACTAGCGCAACCTTACCTAATCAATGTATTCCAAATCAGCTATGAGATCTCAAATTAAGGTGGAAGTTACATATAATCATGGGGCCCCGTAGTCTTAGGTCTTCGATATCCTTGCCATTCTTCTTAAGTCCAAGCAAACAATGGCTGTCTCAACTTCCGATATGGGCTCTGATGTATACACCGACTTGTTGACCTTCACCTTCGGAGGTCCCAAGCCTTACAACACAAACCAACCATTGTTCATCGATGCAGAGGATCCCTCGCGGTCATTTACGGCGGCCCAATTTCGACAACTGGTCCGGACTCTGATCGCTGGTTTGAAAGCGCATAATGTGCAGTCAGGAGATTGTGTGTTGCTGCATCTTGGCAACAGTGTAAGTAGACGTATCAAAATAGCCGGAAAAATAAGCTGACTCGGGCTGGTTATAGATTTTATATCCCGCCTTATTCTTCGGCATTATCGGCGCAGGAGGTGTCTACATGGGCTCGAACCCCCGCAGCCAACCCCAGGAACTCGACCATATCATCGCCCTCGCTGAACCCAAGTTGATCCTCACAACTCGCGATGCCCTCCCCTCTGTGCTCGAGGTCTCAGCTGGCCGGGGAATCCACCCGGCCCAGATATGTTTGGTTGATGAATTTGCCATTGATCACTGTGCACAGCTGTTCCTGTGGCAGGAACTGGGGTATTCCCAGTACTTCTCATTGAACGGTGCAGATGCCCGTCATTCCAATTTCGCCAATCTACTCTTCTATGGGGAATGTGACTGGCTCACGTTTAATGACCCCGTGGTTGCACGAACCACGCCTGCAGCCATGTTCTCGACAAGTGGCACCGGTGGACTTCCCAAAGCTGCCATCCTGTCCCACCATGCGATCGTCTCACAGCATCGATCTATCTACTACGACGTGCCACATCCCGTCAGCCGCTTGATGTCGCTGCCCATGTTCCACCTGTTTGGTGCCCTGTGGACACACCTCTTCCCTGTTCGCTATGGCCACCCACTCTTTGTGCTACCACGCTTTGAGGTTCAAGAGTTCCTGACCACCGTGCGTCGCTATCAAATCTCCGAGACGTACCTGGTCCCTGCTATCATTCACTCCCTCAACCAATCCCCTTTGAAGATCGCAGACTACCTCTCATCCATCCGCTATATTGGTATTGCAGGCGCGCCTATTGATGCAGCCTCCATGCAGCAATTCCGCAGCCACCTCAATCCTATGGCGTATGCTTGTCAGATTTGGGGTATGACCGAAGTCGGCGTCACCTTCCAGACTCGGTACGGCCAGTCTGGGGACCCAGGCAGCATCGGCACCTGTCTCCCAGGGTACGAGATCCGGTTAGTCGAACAAGAGGGCAAGCTCGTGCAAGGTGATGGCCAGCCAGGTGAACTTTACGTGCGCGGCCCCAGCCTGCTTATGGGATACAAGGGCCGTACAGATGCCCTGGAGCCTCATGGATGGTTCCGCACGGGAGACATCGCCTACTCAAAGCAGGGCCAGTACTACATTGTAGGCCGAACCAAGGAGCTGATCAAAGTCCGAGGGTAAGTGACACCACAGCATCGCCCCGCAGACAGGATGGTATACTAACCCTGTTTCATAGATGGCAAGTTGCACCAGCAGAACTTGAGGCAGTCCTTCTCCAACACCCTGGTATCACCGATGCAGCCGTGATCGGAGTGAACAAGGAGGGCCTGGGCGAAGTCCCACGCGCATTTGTGGTTCGCTCCCGCGATCCAGCCGTGAGCCGGCTCACTAGCGAAGAAGTTTACAACCATGCACGTCGTCACCTGGCAAGATACAAGGCCCTTGACGGCGGCGTTATCTTCGTCGAGGAGATCCCCCGTACGGCCAGTGGCAAGATCCAGCGCTTCAAGCTTTCCCAGATGAACTCCTACCGCGAAATGGTCGCATCACTGTTATCTCGGTTTGAGGGCGATGGTGCGCGCGGACCCCACGCTAGAGTCGATATGTCGCCCGTTGGTATGGCAGCTGAAGGACGAATCGCTGTCTAACAAAGCAAAAATAACATTTGCAATATCTGTGGAGTATACGGGCTATCTATCATGGAGGAGGAAACAGGCGTTTGTCTCTCGCACTGGCGTTTCCCCAAATTGGCAATTTGATTTTTGTTGCATTTCACGAAAGGGTTTTCGATTTCGGGTGGTTTTTCTCACGACTGACACTTTTATCATGTATGACGCTCTATTGATTTCTAGTATTAGCGTTTTCAAACGAGAACCCTACAATTATCTTTTCAATTCTTTTCAAGCAACATGATTCATTGATAGTACTTAATTCACCCGTATCACCTAGATCAGACTATCAACACGAACGAAAGTACTAAGTAAACCATGGAACCCGAGCCAGGCCTTACCTTACTCTTACTCTCGCAGTGGAGTCAAACATCATCAATAGTCTCCACCTCCTACAGAGTACAGTGTTATCACCCGACTTATCTCTCAAGCAAACCCCGCCCGTTGTAGATCTTGTGACCAGCCCAGCTAAGCCTAGCTCCGATTCGCGATGCCCGATCCGCGATGCCCGATCTCGGTTCGGCTAATATCCGAAGTACAGCTGCACGCCCAGCGAAATATAACTAAATATATAATAAAAAGAAAAGCGCGGCGAATATTCAGCCCATACACGCACATCTAAGCTGTAGGCTGCAGGATTGTGGCTGAAACAACTATTGATCTGTGTCTCCTTTACGGAGTTTGGTTTTGCCGAGTTGTTTTTGGTGTAGCGGATATAGTGCTGCAAGGGGTGGGGACTATTAGTCAACTTACACGTTCAATGTCAAATGTACAATCTACGTGTCAATCGTCCTTTGGATCCGTGGTGACCCGCGACCCGCGACCCGTGTCCCCGGTGTCCCGTGTTCAATCCATATTCCGTTTTCCGCGCTCGGGTCTAACGATCGACGACTAGGGCAGAGTTTAAATCCTGCGTCTTTGATGGCGCATCCCAAATTTGAATCTTGCATGTCGTGGTAACTTTAGCTTGCTCGTGCACTTAAGCGCATCTTGGGTGACTTTTTCCGTGGTTTGATTCGATACTTCGGCCCGTCGTTACTTCGGGTTCTGGTCAGTGGTTACATCGGGCCGAATGGTTTTGTCTCAGTTTGCCTTTTGGAAGGAGTTTGACTTTGGTTGTAGGGAGGGGAATGACGGGTTGACCGTTCTGTCGGGATTTGGATATTCTGTGAACGTCAACGTCAGGAGTTGAAGAATTGAGACAGTGGTTTTTCTTTTTCTTTTTTCTCTTTTTTCTCTTTTTTTTTGGTTTTTGGTTTTTTGGTTTTTTATTTTGTATTTTGTATTTTTTTTTTCAACTTTCTTTTTGCTTCGGGTTTTGAGTTGGGAAGAAATGAATGGCTGTCATTCCTTACGTACTTTGGTAATTTTTGATATGGATGTTACTTGATCAGGTTTTTGTTCTGAAAATCGGGTATAGACTGATGATTCGACCTGTAATGTGAACGTATCGGTGGAGTCTATATTGCTATTCGACTTCATCACGAACTAGCAAGTGGCAAAACCTGAAATCGTACATAGGATTAGTAGCCACATCTCCTATACACCAATCCTCAATGATCCAACCTTTCAAACGCTGCATCCAAAGTATAAGCAAATCGATCACTAACAGACCGGTCATACGGAAAGAAATCCCGCATTCCACTCGTTTCCGTCCACTGAAGAACATAAGTGGGAAACATAAACTCGGCCCCAGGAAATCCAGCGAAACTACAGTCCCGTTCGCGGATATCAATTCGTATGTAGGCATTTGCTGCATCGGGATGTACACGGACAAGAAGACCCATTGTCTAATACCATGTATTTCCCAGTCATCCAGGAATGGCTGGATGAAGCTTGAGGCTATGTAGAGGCCGGCCGTTATCTGACCTGCGTCTGCCAACCGGGGTTACTGCTATTAGTGTGATTCGGTGGTTCTCTGCTATTGCTTCTTGGGCTCTTCGAATAAGGGACTCCATCCGTGAAGTTGATATGGGTGCTGCCATTTTGGAGTGTTTGAGGTGGAAGTTGTAGGTTGGGTCTTTCTTCTCTTTTAAGGGAAATTTGTAAAATTTTGTCGTTTTCTGATAATGAATGCCTCTATGGGTGTAGAAATGGTCTGATATTTATCTTGTTTTCAAAGCCTATGTTCATAATATTTCGGCAATTTTGCCTGAACTGTATTAGAGGTCTCGGGCCAATATATAGTCTCATATATCTGACACTTTCTAAATTTCATTGTTTCCTTTACAACTGGCATATATCGATTGTTCTTTTAAGTCTCTTTGTAACCTGGATTCACCACAGATATCCAATCATCCCCACGTAGTGAACCAGTATCCCCGAAGCATCAATTTTAGAAAATCCCATACCCCATCCACCAGACCCCCCAAGCCAAAGGCCCTAACGCGCCAATAACAGCAGCTCCAAATGATAACTCCAGGATTGACCAGATCCAAATAGTGCCAACAGCAGGTGCTTTCTTCATAATAGCATAATACGGCTCCCCATTCGTGATCGCGATAAGATGGGCGCCTAGCACGACAGCCACGGGAAGGAAAACAAAAGTCCGTAGCGCAGGCGGGAAAACCAATTTTCGGAAGAATGAAAAGGTAAGTTTGTCACTTGTCAATGGGAAGAGAGATGGCTCGGCCTCTGTCTTGGAGCTTGGCTTTGATTTGAAAGAGATGATATGGCCGTGGGCGAGGTGAACGAACAAAGTGAGCAGTGGAAACGCAGTTGTGACAGAATCCTTGAAGAGTTTGGGTAGGTCTATGCTTTCAGCGTATTGATGGGCTGCTATGTAGCCGAGCGTGAGGTGAAGTGTTGTGAGCGGGAGGGAGAGGAGGATTGTGTCGAGGAATGGAGGGAGCGGCTTGTCGATAATAACTTCGGATTCATCATCTTTGGTGGTCGTCGCGGTGCCGCCTGCGGATTTGCGGCCTTTCTTTGGGGAGCATGGGCGGATAGATGGTTGCTGATGTCGCCGTCTGTGTCGACCAGGTTCCCGGCGTCGTCGACTGTCACAAAGCGGGTTCCCACTGACTCAGGTATTATTTTGGCTCCTTCTGGTATTGTTGAAGAGGGGTTCGATTGATTGAGGCCTTTTTGTCTCTCTGCAATGATATCATATAGGGTTTTCTCGACGGTCGCTTTGTTTTTGGTTGGGCCGTTGCGTGGGGGTTGGGCGTAGGTGATTTCGGGCTCATCTTTATTGGAGGATGAGGCAGCCGCACGACGTTGTTTGCGATTCCTTGCTTCCATTGTGAGAGGTGGGGGGAGCTGTAGCTGGAGGGTTGCGAAAAGCTCGTAAACATTGACGTGGAGAAAAGAAGTGGCCTCGGCGATAGCCCGGAGTTAAGGTGGGTCCCTAGTTGACAGCTACAACTATAACTAATGTTAACCCAACAAATATTCTTCTTTTATTTTGCACGCAAGAATTCTCTAACTATATTTGAAATGTATCATTTATAGGAGGCCCAGTGTGAAGGTATTCCTCCTGTGTCAACTTGATTATCTGCAAGACTCAGCAAATCAAGGTGTACGGAATAAATTGCCTAGGTAAACCAATTTCTAATCTATCATATTTACGTGAAATACTCGAGAAATCTAATTCGGAAGATTTGAAGACTCCAAAAACTCCATCCATTCGTGCCTCTCTCCCATTTCCCCGGAGAGTTCACTCACATCCACAAAATTACACAAAAAGTAACGTTATAACTTACCACTTTTAACCAGCCTGGTACAGAGCAGGACCGGCAACGACATGACTGTTAATCAAACTCAAGTTGAACGGACTCAGGTAAGGATCACTATCGGTAATAGCAATGAATATGGTCCCGTTGAAAGCGGGATCACCCTGGTACGTCTCCAAATCGGGTTGCGCAGTCCACCCTCCAGAATTGTTGGAAGTATCGTCGGTATGCAAAGGCGTATAAGTGATGTTAAGCTGGGAAACCCAGACAACGTATTTTGCCAAACCAGCTTGCTTGGTTGTCACGTAGCTATCATTAGGACCGATAGGCTTTCCAGGGGCATCCCACTGCAACAGCACCTTGCGACCAGGAAAAGAGAGCGGCGTTGGACTAAGTTTACTAACAGAGACACCACAGCTTGTATTAGGGAGAGAAGAGTTGCCTGAACTAGAAAATTTAGAATTTCCAGAACCTTTGTAGCGGGCGTGATCCAGGCCAGATGTGGTTTTCAAGCCTGGATTGTGTTGGCCGGTACCAGAGGTATGATTAAACCCGGCAGTCTCATTCAATCCCGAGGGAGGATTGCCCGTGCTATATGGATTGGGTTGATTGACGATCGTCAACGCCGGAAAGTTCTCCCATATCAACCGAGTCTGGTTCTCGGGACAAGAGCTGATGAAAGGCGCCAACAACGTCCAAGCCCAAGATTGCGGTATGCCAACCTCAAACCATCCAACCATAGGAAATAGACCCTCAAACTGACGGAATATCAACTGCTGTCGTGCTTCAGCGGCGATAGATTGGGTAAGTAATGTCGCAGCCTCGCGCGAGTCGAGATGAGCCAAGAACCCATAGACGCCAGCTTCCCCAAAGCGCGTGATCTTTTGAGCGAAGTCAATGAATTCTATGACGTTGGTGTACGGGTAGACATAGGAACATTGCTGCGGTGCATGGGCTCCCAAAATGTTGCTCAGCATAGTTGCATGACCGATTTCTTGCTGCGCCATGAATGTAATCAACTCGCGGTCTGCTTCGGTCAGACCAGCTGATCTGAATTCTTCCATGGAAAAGCGGCGGAGAGCATCTTGGAACAAATCGAGTTCAATCCATTCCTGATACAAAGCCAGGGCCTATTCATAACGAAAAGTTAGTTTCAGTAACTTCGTATTGGTGAAAGGGGCCTGGTTACCAAGGACTCGTAGTCAAAATCGCTCTTCGTGTTATAGACAGGCGTGCTTCCGTTTGTGCCCACGCCACCTGCCGGGTCATATGGAGCTGGCTCGGCATGGTGCAGCTGTCCGCCACCGGGATAGCTTGTTGCCCCAGGAATTACACCACCACTCGATATTCCAGTTCCAATTGAAAAAGCAGTCAACGCACCAGTGGTACTCGGTGTTCCAGTGAAAGGCGTATGCGCCTGCGAAGTATGGTAACTTCGAAGCGGCGGTGCTGACATGGAAGATGAATCCGACGACTCGGGGGAAGAAGTAGAAGTAGTCTTTGAGTGTTCGCTACCTCCTTTATGGTGTTTCTTTGGAGATGCAGCCACAAATGGGAGCGACCCCATTAGGGCTAGTACAAGCACACTTTTGTAAATCATCTCAGCTTATTTTAAGGCTTGTTTGGTGAGACTTGAGGAGATTGAGTGTGAATAATAGAGTATTTGCATTCCGCAAAATCTCCCGGATATGCACGGAGGTGACATGTAGTACATATAGGTTTCGATAAACTGATAGTAATCAGCATTGAAAATGTAGGGTCAATTGACGCAATGCGCTATTTATCAGGCCATTCCGATATGGCATCATCATTCGGTTCTACAGCCGAAGACACTGCAAAGCTGTGCGATATCGAGGTCAACACTGGATTGGGTTTAAGGCACACGAAGATTCTATATCCAACCGGCCTGTATTCCGGTCGAATGAAATGTTGATGTCCCACGCATGTTTCCATTGGGTTTAATTGGGGAGTAGTCACCCTCAACACAATTGGTTGCCTCGCAATAATGAAATGGTTCAATCCACTGAAACATGGCTCGGAATGGCAACAAATGACGTGGAAGCCTCTCCTTCCAGGTTTCCACTAAGCGATTCGGTAAATACCCCCGGAGAACCCCCGATAGCATCAAATAATGACATTTGTCCCGGTAATTATAAAACTTAGATTGGATCATGTTCGGTCAAGGCGACAAAGATGAGTTGTGAAAATAGTATAGCTCGGACCTGCCATGGTTGATATGTAAATTAATTACCAAGCTCGGATTTTGCGCAATGGTAATAATGTAATAGACAAGTTGTTGTCTTGCGTCACTATATTCATACTGGGGATTAAAGAACTTCTGGGATTTGAGCCCGTTCCAGTCTTGTTTAAGGTGATCTCTCTATAGAATGATGACCAAGATAATAATGATAACAAAATGAGAGATGCAAAAAGAATCTATGAGTTGAAGATATCAGTATATGCCAACTAGAGAAAGACGCAGCGGGTATATTTGGAGAATAGGAACCGTGAAAGTTATGAAAGCTCTCGAAGCATTCTAACAACCAGGAAACTAGATGTTTTCCCGCTGCTATGACGACAATCACATCTGTTTCAGTACTCCTCACCCTATTTCAAGCCTTTGTCTATGATAGACCCTTCGTTCTACTAGGACGACGATAATTGCTTCAATGATGCTCTCACTATGCACACAATATTAGCAGAGGCCTCCATAAAATGAGAAACTCTGCATTCACTTAAAAAAGGCGCTTGAAGCTTAGGGAAAGGGGCCATAGCAAAATGGGATTGAGCCGCTGATACGATGAAATATGATATGACATTTTAAATTGGGTTGGTTGGGACTGGGCACTAGGTCAACTTCTACGGCCCTCATCTTAGACCAAGAATGCTACAAGAATGTCAATGTCTCAGGTAGGTTCTTTGGATTCTTATGATCGATGGACATGCGTACATGTACTATATAGAAGGGAAACAAACACCTGCCTTGATTGATCCGATAGCGATCTGTAGTCGGACATCTGTGCGAGTGAAGTAAATCGACATGTTTCCCCTCAGAATAACTTACCAATTCATACAAGAGCAATATACACACATCAGTTAAGTCAATGTATAACAAACAAGTCCGCGTTGTTCCGCGGTCAAGTATAGTTCATCTCCTCGGCAGCTCGGCGGACCGCCGATCTAAGTGGGGAATGACGCTATCGCGGGGAGTTGTAATCTCCAATATTTAGCAACAGGCCCCCTCTCTCTTCTCCTCTCAATTATTTCGCCGCATACATACTATCCTTCATCATCTGCAGACATCCGTCATGTCTCATCTACAAGCATCAAATCTCTTCTCGGTCAAGGACCGGGTTGTCGTGATCACCGGAGGCGGCAGTGGTAAGTATCACCCGTGACCGCATATTCAAGCTGCATTACAAAGAAAATGAAACTCACACATCCAATCCAGGCCTCGGTCGCATCATGACAAAGGCCCTCGATGCCAATGAAGTCTCCAAGATCTTCATCCTCGGCCGGCGCGAAGACGCCCTCCAAGAAACGATCTCACAAACCATCAACGGCACCGTAATCCCAATCAAATGCGACATCACATCCAAAGTCTCCCTCGAGGAAGCCTACAAGGCCGTTGCAGCGCAAACCACCCACGTCGATCTCCTAATCGCAAACAGCGGCATCATGGGTCCCCTAATGAGACCCCCACAGCCCGCAGCAGACGGCTCACTCCCACCTCTCTCCCAGGTCCGCGATGAACTCTTCAACGTTCCAATGGATGAATTCAATAAAGTGTTGAACGTGAATGTGACGGGCTCGTACTATACCGTGCTAGCATTCCTGCCCCTCCTCGAAGCAGCCAACAAGCGACGACCTGCCCCGCAGCCTGGCGTTGTGGGAGCGCCGACTGCCCAGGTGATCATCACCAGCTCGATTGCGGGCTATGCCCGCAAGGTACCATTCAGCTTTGCCTACAATGCGTCTAAGTCTGCGACGACCCAGTTGGTGAAGATGCTTTCGACTTCGTTTGCATATTACAACATTCGGGTGAATGGTATCTCGCCGGGTCTTTATTACTCTGATATGGCAAATCATGTTTTCCAGACTGCCGGTATCACTGGTCAGGCTATTGAGGATGGCTCGTTCCCGCGTGAGATGATTCCTGCTACGAGAGGTGGGAGTGAGGAGGATATGGCTGGTTTGATTGTGTGGTTGGCCAGTAACTCTGGTGGTTATATCAATGGTAATATCTTGGTTACTGATGGTGGCCGGATTTCGGTTGTGCCGGCTTCTTACTGAGGGTTTGATATTGGACGAGGATGCATAGGTCGCTGTACATGTCCTGAGTTCGAATAGAATGGGAATGGATTGTTAGAATTCTCGGCTTGGATACATTCATTTCTCGGCAAATTGATGAGATGAAGCAGTGACAGAAAGATATTGACGGCTATGTAGGTAGATAAAGATCGTGGCAGGGCATGTAAAGATCGTAAGGCACCACTGATTAATAAGTCGCTGTCAATCGTTGGACCAAGTAGTCGCCTGCAGTTATATCTGCATACTTCTTCGCTACATCAATATCTTCGCCGAAAGTCCCTGGCAGCGCTTCAATGAGTTTGGCGCTATTGGGGTTGCAGAAATAGGCGACGCTGTATCGAGCAGGGTAATGCCCCGAGTTGTCCTCTCCAGATTCCTCATTGACTGGTGCGGGTGGCTGAATTACCCGATGACGGGTGCTCTTAATAGTATCATTGGACCACCGAGCTAGCAGATCACCAGCATTCACAACAATGGTATCGGCAATAGGAATCGCATCCACAAAAGTCCCCTTAGGACTTCGTACTTGCAGTCCACCATGTTTGTCCTGGAAAAGGAGGGTAACTGAACCGTAGTCGCTGTGCTCGCCAGCACGAACCTGGTCAGGATTCTTGTTGAAGACCTCCTTGCTAACGGCAGGATAGTGGAGTAGTCGGAGGTTATTATCGCCCTCATTCACGTAATCGTCGAAGAAATGTTCCGGCAGGCTCATCCCCAATGCAATGGCACGCATAATTTGTGTATGCAGGGTCTTGCACATTTCAAAGAAGGTCTGCATAGTCTCTTTGAAATCCTTCCCTTCATCATCCAAATGATCTGGCCAGCGATTGGGAAGCCCTTCCACTCCCTCACGGCCAAGTTCCATCGTCTCTTTAATATCCGGGGCGGATGCACGCAGATCATCCACGCCATTGGTTTGGTCGACTGTGGTTAACTTCTCCCGCCCGATGGCGACGTAACCACGGTTCGATTGTGGGGTCGTCCAACCTAGATCGTCTTTCTGTCTCTGAGGTCGTGCAAAGAAACGAGCTGATGAAGCAAACACCCGGGACACCACGGAAGGTGGAATGCCATGGGATTTGAGGTAGACAAACCCGGATGTTTTGAAAGCGTCGGTAATAGAAAGGGCGACAGCATGCTTGTCGGAAGGTGTTCCCGTAAAGAATGGACCGAAGTCGATCAGCTGAAATGACGTCTGTTAACTGTAGCTTGAATAGTATGTCCGATGCAGTGCTTACTGGAATCATTAGATCATCCTTGTTCACAGCAGTAGATGCTGGGTGGATTTCTTGCATTGTATTGGAGGCCATAGTGGGTGTAGCTAGAGATTAAAATAGGTAGAAATGCGTACAGTTAGCAGAATCCCCCAAATCGCCTTGGAAAGGGAAAAGGAGGGGAAAGGTGGTCGGGTCATCTGCATGATAAGCCATAGAGACGATCAGAGATAACGGGTTCTGCTGGTGCTATTCCCACCGCTTCTATTTCTCTCCCTCTCACCGCCACTCCGCTGCTGCGCCACACCCACCTCTTCTCTGCACCGCCACACCGCCTTACCGTCTCACTGCCACGTCGATCTATATCGACCACGTGACCATGGCAGCCCCAAGAGACTACCTCAGTCATCTTCCCTGGAAAGCCCTGAAGATCGTGATTTCCAACCTCTCTGACCTGCCCTCAATCTTCCGTTTGTTTGAAGCAAGCGAAAATGCCAAGAATATCATCCTGTCTCATGTTCCCAACCTTGCCCAGCTTATCGAGAACAACATCAACCGTCCAGTAGCTGAAGGAGGGCTTCACCCAGAGAATAAAATCCTACTCCGGTTGTTTGCATTGATTTCCTGGCGCCAGATGTCAGGCCCCCACCTTCACAACCCACTGCCTGTTAACTACCACGATGTCATTCCTGCTCTGGCAAATACCTTTTCGATGGCCGCCTTGTCATTTTCCTCCATTGAAAATCCATACTCTACCATACGGCAATGTTTTGCCACCCAGCCTCTTCATAACTCGATTCCATCCATTGTCATCTACCAAATTCTGTCATTGTCTTCTCTGGCTCAACAAGTCTCGCACGGTTGCTTCCATGACTACATGGCTCGCTGCATGGCTTTGCCGCTGAGACAACTCAAACCAGACGAGAGTCCCCCCATGGACTTCAGCCTTGATACACGACCCAAAGGCATCCCTTTGATTCCCGTCGATCTTGGCCCCCCAACCTATTGGGAGGAACAACGACTGCTGCAAACCGCGCTGCGGTTTTTCCTCTTCTGGGACCTCAAGGATGCTGTGGGAAACGGGACCTTCAACATGGACCATCCCGACGATGGTCTCATCTTCAAATTAGATAATGTCGAAGGCTACTGGTGCAAACCTTTCCAGCATGTCCCAGCTGTACTCAGCCGCAGAGGAAGGATGATGTGGTCGGAGATCTACCAAATGGGAGCCTTTCTCGCGTGGGCTAAGTCTTGCAACCCGGGAGTCCCTCTCAGCAAAGACTGCCTCCATTCTCTTCTTCGCAACTCCCCTGCGTCGATGCCCTGCTGTGCACTCACACCAGCCGCCCGGAACGGGTTCGTGTCCGGCGACATGGCGATGATCAATGGCATTCCGCCAGGATGGAGTATCTTGGCGAGACTGAAGGAGAGCATCAGTGGATTTGCGCATGTGGACACTGAGTTCTTCATGCAGTTCGGGTTCGATTTCTGGGACCATGAGAGGCTGCAGGCCTTCGGGCTCACCCACGGGCCCATTGGCAGAAACCATGCGCTGTATTCTTACCGGCCGAATACGTCGAGGCACTTGTTTCGGTTGGCATTTGTTTGGTCCAGCATCCTCCCAGACACGCGCTGGAGAATTGATGCCCGGGATTTTTTTGAAGTGTGGTCTAACTAAGGCATCTCCCGTCTCTTTGTGCACCACAAAGGTGCTTAGTGAAGCTTTCAATTGAATGCAGATGTGAGAATTACAGTTTTCGTTAACCTGTAGTTTCAGATTATTCTTACTTTTAGACTTATAGAAGTAAACGATTGAAAGGTTGTAAGCATAGAATTCTTTTAAGGATCTAATAATATTGGGCGTTAGTAAGGCTTTCAATCTAAAGCCAAACTTATTTAGAAATTGAACGTTAACCTTCTTAGAGAATGAAAGAGACTTTATCTTAAGGTCATTCAATAGTGAGCGTAACCTACAACCGGTATCCTCTTAGCTGGAGGCTAACTTTGATAGCTACATCTCGTTAAAGAAAAGTGAAAAGACACAGAAAATCAGAGCGAAACAAAGAAACAGGCAGCAAAGAAGAGGCATTGGGCCCAGGTAGGCAATAAGAGAGGAAATCTCCTAGTTACTTCCTATTTGGCACCGTTCGAAATATCTCCCCTTAACATCTAAGCCAGCCTTATATTTAATGCATCTCTATATTCGCCGGCGAGTCATGGGATGCCCTTGGGGTCATCAGTACCAAGTTCCGGCAGATGGAGGAGGAGTTAGCTCGGACAGAGGAGTCTGCCGAAGAGGAGCAGCCTGACGATACCACCAGGCACCGAATGGCACTTCTGGCTCTTCGTCCAGGAAAAACGTGGACACTTGAGGATCTGTCTAACGAGGGATACCTGCGGGTGGCCTTACGTCTGCTCTACAATGGCGTACACGGCGTCAAGTTTCTGCACATAGGAAAGTCTATCCACCTGAAATATGGAAGGCTTCCTAACAAGGAGGTGCTAGCCAAGATCGGTGTAGTTGCTTCTAAGGAGATTCGTCGGGTAAAAGAGGTTCTCCAGGCCTTAGAGATCTGAGTGGTCTCGGGTTGAACTCCGTTAATGTGATTCAGCATTTGTTTTATTGTTTTCTGTCTTTAGCGATTTTACCAAGGGTTTCACTTGATTTTCAGTTCAATATTCTTGCCCAGTTCAGTCTTTCACGTTAGATGGTAATGTTCTTTATTCTTTAGTGTTTCAAATGACCATTCAAGTCTACTCTATTTCCCTCTCTTCATGTGTTTGAAGGTCAGCAAACCCAACCCCAGGATCCAGCTCACACGCTTTAGCCATATCATCCGCGAGCTACTGCTTATCCGCCATACCTGCAAGACTTAATGGTTTTACAGCCACTGATACTACTACCCCTAGCGGATGTTATTACAGTCAATTGCAATCCAGCAAGCAGCGCGCTCACCACACAGCGCCAGCAAGAGAATAGCATCCTCGTGGCTAATAACGACCCATTCGCTACTCGATTCCACCGGCTTCGAATATGATGAGAGCGAGGAACTCCAAGTATCTTACGACTCGGACGAAAATATTGATCTGAACTACCGATCAATTCAGGAATTGGGAGACGAGTCGCAGAAATCAGCATCTGGGGACTTCAATGTGACTTCCGAGTCCGACTCCAACGCCCAGCCCCAAATCAAGGACGGATATGCTGTTCGCGATGGCATAAGAATTCGATGTCCAAGTACAATGTGGTAATGGACTTTTCAGAGCGGAGTAGCTAGAATTGAAATTTGTTTTTCAAGCAATGAACAAGATTGTCAAATGTATCGACCTATCTTGAGTCAACGTATCAGGCGTAGATATCTAGATACGCTGCTCACAAATTGTAATAAATGGAGAGAAAACACCCGCCAAAAACAATTTACGGCCCTTCACATCATGCACTGCAACTGTCGAGCTGGGAAGGCTCTTGGCATCTCTATCCTCCACCAATTTCGCCACTTTAGAATCCTTTCCGAGTGTCTTTAGTTGATTGGCAATTCCATTGATTGTAAGGACAGTAGCAGGTGCTACTACATTGTATGGGTCCATGGTAGATTTCACAAATGCGATGGAGTCAGGGAAAGCAGCTGCAATGAGGTTGCCATCTGCATCTAGCCACAGGTTATCCATTGGGTACCCGGTATGGATGGAATCAACCTGGATCAATTGGTCATTGACGAGTTCGTGGACAGTAATGAGACCAGTCACAGAGTGAGCGACATAGTAGTGACCATTCTTGTCGTGGGCTATTCCATTGGCGGTGGAGAATCCCTTGTCAGCGGCGATATGGCATTTCCCCGTGTCAGATCGACAATAAGCGAGACTTCCACCCCCAATCAGCATTTCTAGGCCACGAAAAGCGCCAGTTTTGGTATTGTGGTCATTCGTAATCACGAAGCCCAGACCATCTTCTTCCACGGCCACACCATTGGGCGTAATAATCGCCTCGCTGGCCACGGTCTTAACATGCTCAAGCGTCTCCGAAGCCTCGTCCAGATCAAAGATCTCAACAGTCGAATTTGCCCCAACGGTGCTGGCATCAAGAAATTCCCCAGTCACAGGGTCAACAGGGGGTCTGTGGTTAATCAACCAGAATCGAAGCCGGCCTTCAATGTTGCGAACGTCGAATCCATGCAAGTCAAGATCATCGTGATATCCGCCAATTTGGAGCTGCCGTAGGCCGTACAGCCCATTCAAGCCAGGTTGATCAATATCAAGAACAGCGATGTGATCCGTGCGGGATCTCGCGGAGATGTTGTAGTGGTCGCCTGCAGGGGACCAACCCTGACGAGAGTCCAGGCTGGTGCATGCTGCATATAGCTTTCTTTCCTGGTCATCAAGCCACAGGTCCTCGCAGCCTTCAAGGAGAGAGTGCTGGACACGAGTGCAAGTCCATGGAAAGTCCTCGATCGGTTGGATTTCCCGGCCAACGCCGATGGTGACGAAGATGATATTGTGTATGTATGTTCTGTAGACCACGCCTGTTGCGAGCACAACCAAAGCCCAGGATAGAGCCCGGGGACCTAAAATGCCAGCCATGTTGAGATGGAAAGAGTGAGAAGTGGGAAAGTGTTGGGTGTTGGAATTGGGTCCAGGTTGATCCTGCGACCCACTTTTGTCCAGTGCTGATGTGAGAATCCTGCAATGAGTTGCAATGAGGTCGTTCCTTTTAACCTTCCATTAATCTCAACATCTCAACATTCCAAGGGAGGCAGATATCATGGATCTACATGTAAAAGAGTGGGACGGAACCTCGGCGATAACTAGGGATCGCCCCAGATCCCCACTAGGACATTAATAAGCTGCCTGCACAGCTGGAACAACCTCGGTCGATCAACATACATTTCATCTTCTTCTCTCCTCAACTCCCCTCTCTATATTTTCCAACATCTTGGTTTTCCTTCAAAATGCCTTACACCGCCATCGTCATGTACCCCAATGAGTCGGATATCCAGTTCGACGAGTCTTACTACATGAAGACCCACATGCCCCTCGTTGAGGCTACCTGGAAGAAATACGGCCTCAACAGCTGGCAGGTCACCAAGTTCCCCAAAGCGCTTGATGGCTCGCGCTCTGAGTATTTGATTATGGCCACTCTTCAGTGGGAGAGCGAAGAGGCCCTGCAGACTGCTCTGAAGGACTCGGGCAGTGCCCAGGTCTTCGGTGATATCCCTAACTTCACCAACAAGAAGCCTGTCACTTTGGCTGGATCGAACCTTTAAGGTACGTCTGTCTTCTATTGCGGAGGGTATGTGGATATGTATTTTTCTTTGCGTCTGTTTGGGTGGTGATACTGATAGTACTTTTTAGCGGCGAGCAGAGATGCCATTCATGAATCAATGACATAAATGTCTGCGTTTGGCGTATATCTGAATCACCATTTCACTTTATTAACTTCTGGCACTTGAGATTGGTGGTGTATGAGGATCTTAGCCGGTCAGACCGGGTACTTCACAGGAAGCTATGTATATACCACACGGTGCACACGCTTACACTTGAAAGATCTGTGGATCTAGCGTGATGCAATAGTCATACAATAAAAAAGAAACGCCAGTTTAGATGTCAGTAAATGTCAGAAATGCAGGGATAAAGACGTAGCATCGAGGGGCCTCCCCGCATGAGTTCTTATCTCTCTCCCCTCACTTGGCCTCTACATAACAACTCCCAACTCAAAACTCCCAACTTCCAATCCTTCCCAATTCCCTCCTTAATATCACCATTGACACTACTCACCATGTTCAAACCCCTCGTCGTAGATATCCACACCCATGTATACCCACCCTCATACATGGCGATGCTTCGCGCACGCAAAACAGTCCCATACATCCACGATCCAGCCAACGGCGAACCACGCCTGATAATCCTCTCCTCAGACGACGACCCAGCAATCCCAATTGACCAGCGCGGCCGTCCAGTCGACTCATCCTACTCCGACATCAACGTCAAGCTAACCTTCATGCAACAGCACGGCATTGACAGCAGCGTGATCTCGCTCGCGAACCCATGGCTGGATTTCCTCGATCCCTCCGAAGCCCAGGAATGGGCCCGGCGCATCAATGATGATTTGGAAGAAACCTGTGCGAGCGTTAATCAGTCCAACAACCCGGAGAAGAACCTCCCTCTTACGGGTCGGTCGTCTTTGTTTGCGTTTGCGGCTTTGCCGTTGAGTGCGCCGAGTCCTGATATTATTGTTGATGAGATTAAGAGACTGAAGAGCTTGCCTCATATCCGTGGTGTGATTATGGGGACTTCGGGCTTGGGAAATGGTCTGGACGATGAGAAATTGGGGCCCATTTGGGCTGCTCTGGAGGAAACCCAGCTCCTCCTCTTTTTGCATCCCCATTACGGTCTTCCTAATGAGGCTTTTGGTGGTGCTGAGGTGACTAGCCGGTACGGTCATGTGCTTCCTCTGGCTCTGGGTTTCCCGCTTGAGACTACTATCGCTGTTACTCGCATGCTGCTGTCGCGTGTTTTTGATAAGTTCCCGCGATTGCAACTCTTGCTTGCTCATTCTGGGGGTACGCTGCCGTTCCTGGCTGGTCGGATCGAGAGCTGCATCATGCATGAGCGGAATTTCGTTGAGAATGGTGGTATTGTCCCTGGGCCGCAGAGGAGTATTTGGGATGTTTTGAAGACGAATATCTTCCTTGATGCAGTTGTTTATGGGGTTGCGGGGTTGAAGGCGGCAGCTACTGTTGGTGGGGGTACTGATCGTCTTATGTTTGGTATGTGTTCCATTCAGGTTTTTGGGTGGTGAGATATGGGTGTCGAATTAAGCTGACTTCTTGTTGCAGGTACTGATCATCCGTTCTTCCCGCCTTTAAATGAGGGCGACAAGGAGTGGCTAAGTGTAACGACCAATTACAAGGCTATTGATGAGAATTTCGGGGACAAAAAGGAGGCTGTGGCTGCTGTTCTGGGGGCAATGCTGCTCATATTCTCAAACTTGAATAAGTATATACAGCAACTTCTCAGCTTTATATCATACCAGTTCTGTGAATATGATTCTATCAATATCCTGGTGTATAAAACTCGCAAAGATGTATAATGGGCAACTGTTCCCATGAAACAAATCAAAATCACCATCAGCACGGTTAGGCTGGTCTACTTTGGAGCAAAGACGCTCCTCAGCACATCCCAACCCACCAACCGCCACATTTCCTGGGTGAACCAATCCGCAAACCCCTCCTGATTCGTTTCTTTGGCATCAATAACCTGGGAAGGCGGTGTCTTCGGGCGTTGTAGACCATCCCAGAACAAGTTGTCATCAGGCCCGAAGACAGATTGAAGAAGAGTCTTCTGAATACGATCCCTGGCAGTTTTGACAAAGCTGTGCGTAGCATGTGCTTCGGCAACTGATTTTGTAGATCCTGCATCCATCATTCTCCCCAACAGCCGAACTAAATACTTTGCTTCGAGTTGCGCATCGTCCGGCATTAGGTTCTCGTCTGCCATTGCTTCCAATCCTCCTGGGAATGTCATTCTCGGACTGATGCTCATTGGTAGTCGGAGATCATGGAAGACATATAGAGCTAGCATTTTGCCCACGCGATCAAGAACGAGGGATACGAATCCTTCCATTACCTTTTGGTCTTCGGCGAGGGATATGTCGAGTGATAGGGCCATTGTGCAGAGCAAGTCTGCGAGGTGTGAAGCTGTACCGTCCTCGGCATCTAAGCCTTTCTCTTTTCTGTTGCTTCGTTGATTGTTTAGATGAGAAGCTGAGTCTGAAGCCACGCTTGGGTCATCTGGGCTGGGCTTCTGTTTGGAGATGGCAGTGCAATGTTGAGTGAGGGCAGTCATGGTTGATTCGAACAGTCCGACCAGATAGTAGATAATCTGGCCTTGATGCTGCCTTTCATCTTCGTTTCTTGATAATTTATACAATCCTCGATGCACAAGGTGAAAAGCAATTGTAGCGCCGTTGAAAACATCATTGATGTCTGCGACTTGGTTGATATTGGGAGGGTTCGATTGGGTCAATTTGTTTTGTTCTTGAACAGCACGGATGAGTTCCTGCTCTGCGGACTTGCAAAGGACCACAACAGCGGTGGCCAAAGAGTTGGCCTTCATAGGCTTTCTTTGGAGGGCCTTTTGCAGGGTATATAGTTGTCTGCTGAGACACAGGCCTGGTGTGGGATTAGCCATCGCCATCAGTAGAAAGACAACAAAGAATGTTTCTTACCGTCTTCCCCTCCACTTGAATCATCATCCATCAATGGAATACTCTTTTGCATCTGATCTGGTATCTTAGCCCGTTTCTTCGCCCTGTTTGAGCTCTTCACATTTGTCGCAGCGGGTGCTTTGCGCTTGTTCATCTGCGAGACTTCGTTCTCATTTACCGGGTTTTTGGCTCGCAACTTTGCCAACAGATTGGCATTGCGTTGCTGGAGCTCATAGATCTGGTCATGCAACTTGCTCTGGCCTGCTTCGGACTGTTCGTATGCTTGTTGCCAGAACGAAACGCTGTCGAAGAACTTGTCTGTTGCAACATCATGTCCCAGGTGTCTGGACTTCTTGATAAACTCTCGGATGTGCAAGATATGTTCTAGCATGGGTCATAATTAATTCAATTTTTTTTTTTGGCCTGAAAAAAGTCAGTCATTGGCTTGCCTTGAACGCCTTGATCTGGTGGTTTATGCTTGACAATGGCCAATGCTAGAGCTAATTGGAGGCTGGCCGGAGGGGATTTAGTATGGTTAGATGGTGAAAGGAGCGACATATTGACCTATGGCTCAAGAATTGATGATTCGGGATGAAATGGGTTGAGATATAAACAAAACAATGAGTTCATTACGGTCACATGCTCCAATATATATTGTTGACAAGCACAATTCACCATATTAAATTTCTGGTTACTTTGCAAGACAAAAAGACAAGTGGGCTTGAAATAATCTCTTTAGTTAACTTCCTTTAATTTCTAGACCTTATATTACATCAAGCTGCCATAAGAGTGCATCTAGTACCATCTACTTCGCTGAAATGGTTGAAGATCCCCCACCGCCCAAAGCTCCGAACTTAAACCTTCAAATAATTTCCATCTACATCTCTCTCGGCGCCAGAGCTTTGATTCAAGTATCGCGCATTTTGAATCATTGCAGCATTCTACACAGACTCTCCTACGCCAAAGCCTAGCACCGCAGACCTGAGCCTAAGGAACAAATCTTAAAAACTACCACTCGGCGCATCACCAAAGCGACAACCAGTCGCAAACCAGCCCAAAATGCCCAACGAAGACCTCAAGGCGCACGCCGCCTCCAACCAAGACTTCTACGCCCTCCTGGATGTCCCCGCAGCAGCCAACGAATCCGAAATCCGACGCGCATACCGTCGCACCGCCCTAAAATACCACCCAGACAAGATCGCCAACCCCACACCGGCCGACATCGACAAGTTCCACTTCCTCCAGATCGCCTACGATGTCCTCTCCGACCCCTCAGTCCGACAGCTATACGACAATGCTCGGGAAGCGCGACAGCGCAAGCAGCGCGAGCGGGACATGATGGGCGCGGCGAAGCGCAAGATGCGAGAGGACCTCGAAGCACGGGAACGAGCAGGCGCTGCGGAGATGGGTGGTGCTGGGGTGAAGCAGGGTGTTAAGAGGTCTTGGATGGCAGGTGGGGATGATGATGCGGAGGAGAAGCTTCAGCGGGAGATTGAGCGCATTGCGGAGGATGGGAGGCGGAGACGTCGCGAGGCGGAGGATAAGATTAAGAAGGAGTTGGACGAGGAGCAAAAAAAGGTTCAGGAGGAGGAAGAGGAGGCGCGCAAGGCTGCTGATCGGAGTAGCCAGCGGGTGGATCGGTCGAAGGAGGGGGTGGTGCTGAGGTTCCTGAGCTTGAGCGTGCGGTTAAGGTGCGCTGGGTGCGCGAGGGACGTGGGCTTGAGGTTGATATTGAGAGGCTCGCGGTGCTGTTTGCGCCGTTTGGGAAGATTGAGAATACGTTTATGCTTAAGGATAAACGTCAGCGGATCGGGGATAAGAAGGAGAAGAAGACTGTTGCAACTGGTGTGGTGGTCTTCACTTCTATTGTCAGTGCTCATACTGCTGTGCTTGATAGCGAGAAGAAGCTCCGCCAGCAAACTGGACGGGACGGCGAGTGGGCTCTTATTGAGTCTGTCTTCTGGGCCTCGGGCAGCCAGCCTGATCTGGGAATGGGTACGAATGGGCAGGCTACTGCTGATGCACCATCCAAGCCCAAAGCACCCGAACCGGCGGCTACGCCTTCAATGCCTTCTACCAATCCTTCCAACGGATCTGCCAAACCCTCCTTCAATTTCCCAGGCTTGAATTCAGCTCCTCCTTTTGGGAAAGCGCCGTCGTTCGGATCCTTTGCCTCTGCATCTGCTGCGAGTGCCCCCAAGGCATCATCATTCAATCCGTCTGGAAAGTCTTCAAGCACGCCTAACATGGAGGAAGTGACCCTGATGCGATTGAAGAATGCGCAACGAGAGAAGGAGCGCAAAGCCCTCGAGGAACAACTAGCGCGCGAAGATGAAGCCGCAGATGCAGAAGAAGCGGCAGCGAAAGCCACCTAGATTTTGCGATTCTGATTTGAAGCGAGTTTCCGTGTTACAAAAGGCCCATGGATTTACAATTGCATACATAGAAGAGATACCCCAATGCATGAAGTATGTGCACAGTTTTATATGAATAGAGATACGTGAGCTATTTACATCGTGATCTTTTGAGCAGCGTCATATTATACAAGTATAAAGTGGTATGCACCGAGACATCTTACCGTCGGTGAGACTCAGCATAGGCTTCGATCTCCTCCTCGGCTTCGTCTTCCTCTTGTTCGAGTTGCTCGACAAGCTCCCTCGCCCGCTCACCCTCAGCCTCAGGATTGCGCGGAGCCGGTTTCTCCTCCTTCGCACCCGAAATGAAATCCCTCAACCAAGGCGGCACGAAAGCACGCACACCGACCTCATTAGGCTGCTCGACATCTGGAGCCCAGGTCAACTTGAACTGTTGTTCATGAGGACGGGCAGGAGTCTCGCCCATGAGAGCGACATCGGTCATAACTTCAAGACGGCAGAGCGCAAGGCCGATATTTCCAATACCGTTCAGGAAAGTTCCGGCACTGCGGTTCCGCCGGCTGGTGGTGCCAGCCTTGACGATATCCGATTCGCCAGTCGGTAAGGTCAACTGAACAGAAGGATCGTACGTCAGGGTCTCTGGCAAACTTTGCACATCCTGACTCATGTCATAGAGTTGCACGGGGAGAATACGTTTGCGCGTGACACCGCGGTGGTGTGTGCGAATCGTCAATTCCTGACCAACATAACAGCCCTTGCGAAAATCGATACCCCGAGCCATATCCATATTACATTGCAGTGGCAGAGCAGATCCACTAAGGATCTCCGACTGGCCCTCCGCAACACCATGCAAGAATCGACGGACAGTATATGAGTCCAGCTCGACCTCGGACCCGGCGACTTGTGCTTCATCCGGGAGATGGGTGCGGAGCCCATCGGAGCCGGGAGTGATGATTCGTGAACCGAAGGCCGGAGCGCGTGAGTCAAGGCATGCGGCGATTTGGGAGGTGGGCGAGAAAGGCGATGGCGATTCTGACTCCAGGCTGTATGCGGCCCACCGTGGTTCCGAGTGGTTCTTCCATGTGGACCAGACAGTGCGCTCGCCTTCTTCGAGAGCGCGGAGCTTGAGCTTAGCGCGGAGCTTGTGTTTTTTCAGATGTTTCATCAGGACTGGCACCTGATTCTTGTCCACTTCCACGAGCCAGCCCTGCTCGGCATCATTGCTTTCGGCTCCGGGGATCGGGTAGATGAAGGCGTCGTTCAAGACTCGGCCTTGCGAATTGAGGAATGCGGTGTATGCACCTGTACGTCGAATGTTTCGATTTGGATCGTTGGGTACTAGCATGTTCTGGGTCATTAGGCCCTGGAGGAAAGTCGTGCTGTCGGTGCCGGTAATGGAAATGAGTCCGCGGTTGGTGAGCCGGCTATAGCCCGTCTGCGGCGGGAACGATGCATTTTGGGGTTGGTTGCTGCGGTTTGCTGTGGTCGAGAACTGCTTACTGCGAGCCAAACAGCGGCTGCAAACTGAAGGGCGTGGGCGCATCATGGTTGATTTTGTAGAGAAGAGCCAATGTGAGTTGATCTATTTCTTTACAAATCGGCAAATCGGCCGATGACGTTGGGCGGTGAGGCGCAGCAAAATGAAAATGATATTGACCGGTAAACTACAACTCTGGTTAACCATGTAGATGCTTTTATAATGATAATAATATCTGAAATGTACAATAGAAGGTTGTAATGCTCTGAATGTATCTTGATCCAATATTACACTGTAGCTATGTATGTCAAGTTCGATGGGCGAGGCCCAATGCAAGACGCGTCGACCGCGGAATCATTTGTTCCCCTTGGCCACTCCCTCCAAGAACCCAAGCAAGAAGGCCTTGTTACTGGGAGATGAAATGCGGTTCGTATTAGCATGCACACCGCTGTCAGAAGGTGTGCCACGACGAGAAATGGAATCCCCGCTACTAGGGGGATGGCGAGACGATATCGGGCTGACCAGGCCTGAGAATCCAGGCTGACGCCCACTCACAGCCCGGGATTCGAGCTGGGACAAAGAAACTGGGGAGGGAGGAGCCGGTGCTTTGCTAAACAGAGACAAAAGGGCTTCCTTCTGTTCGGCCGTTTGGCTTGGGCGTCGGTCAAATTTGCCCTGTGGCGCCAGGCCTTGTGCATTTGTCAGGACATCTGCTAAGCTCGATTTGCGCTCAGCAGGGGGCTGCGGAGCTGCCGCCATCAGACTCTCGTAGCCCGTCTTGTCGGATCGACGTAGAATCTGTGGCTGGAAGGCTTTGATAGGCTCGGGTGCCTCAATAGGGGTTGCCTGGGGTGGGTGAGGAACCTGTGGTGCTTGTGCAACAGGTCCCGAGGAAGATGCCTCTCGTTTAGCGGACTGAGGTCGCGGGAGAATAGTAATGGGGGAAGAAAGTTGCTGTGACTGAGGCTGCTCTCGTCTGTTTGCATGGTTCTTGCGATTCGGTCCGTCGTTCAACTTCTTATGTGTCGACTTAGGAATTGCCTCGAATTGCGGCATGTTCAAAGGTCCAGACACGGTGGCAGATGTTTGTCCCGCCCCTGCCTGACCCTTACTCGGACCAATCGCTGGATGAGTAAGGTGAGAATTCTGATATTGCGGACGTTGGAGAATCTGCTTGTCTCGGGGGCCGGCGGAAGGTATAACAGGATTGCCTAGCAATTCAACTGGTTCAGCGGCAGAAACAGGCCGAGGGCCTTTGAGCAGATTCAACAGACTATCCTGATGTTGGGATGTCTTGCGCACGTGGGAAGAGGTGTGTGCAGACACGGCTACTGTTGCTGCACCCGGTCCTTTGGGAGTCTTGGAAGCCTCATCCTTGAAGACGTTCAAAAGCGCCAGCGAATGACTTGTGAGCTTAGGTGGAGGCAATTTGCTGGCGGGAGGAACCACCGGACCCTGGCTTTGAGATGGCTGAGCAGATTCGGAAAATTGAGGATCCCCAGTTCGCTGAAACGGTGCAGGCATATGACTCGGTGGATGAATATCCCGAGTAGGTAGCTGCTGTGTTTGGTGCTGATGTAGCGGCAAAGAAGCAGGCTGGGGAAATTGAGACACTGCATGAGGATCAGGATATCCAGGCTGCGGCATTGCGGGGAATGCATTGCCCCGGGAAAGATGTGGTTGGGTATTATGCTGAGATGGGTGAGTGTGGAATGGTGCAGAAGTCTGTTGCACAAAAGGAGAGGGCCCCATATTAGGCTGTTGCTGAGGAAATCCGGGGAAGAAATTTGGACCCATGTGAGGCCGTTGGTCCGCAGGTGGAAGGTGAGGATGGGCTCCATTAGATGGTGGCATTGCATCATTGCGAGGGGCTTGAGAACCACCTTTCAACAAGGCAAGGAGCGCATTTGACTTGGATGGGTCGACAGCAGGGGTTTGAACTGGCTCAAAACCTGCTGCTTCAACTTGCGCCGGCGCTGCACCAATTTTCAACAAACGTTTCAAGTGGAACGAGGCATCCTCGGCAGAGGCAACCTCAGGAAGATCATTTGAGATAGCCATTTCTGCAAGGGACAACCCTGGGGTTCCATTAGTGTGGCCATTTTCATCCATAGAAGTATAGCCTTCAGCCTGTGCATTCTGCTTTGTGCCAGCCTGAGCCTTGGCGCCAATCTTCTTCTGTTGGGCAATCCATTTCTTGAGCGGGTGTAGGAAAGGTGCAACCATGTAGAACTTGTTTGCATTCGCGACCGCGAACCCTTCATCGTGGTTCTTGCTCTTCTTCAATGTCGGCAACTCCGAAAGCTTGTACCATTCGATCTTGCTGATTTCCTTTCGAGTGCGGGGCTCGAAGTGCGTATCACGGGGCACGCCTCGGAAGACATAGAGTCGCATGTGCTGTTCTCGCATTGTGATCTCGATGAACTTGACATCATCTTCGTCCTTGACCAACTTAGCATCCCGAACATCAAACCCAGTCTCTTCGTAGACTTCACGAATGGCACAGTCCAGATCCTTCTCGCCTTTGTTGATTTTGCCGCGTGGGAAACTCCAGTTGGCGCCCTTCTTCCAGCCTTTGACCAAAACAACCTCATCCATGTCTTCATTCAACATGATCGCACCGCGGACAGGCACGCGGGTTTTGTAATGGAGGAACTCTGAGAAGGCAGCCATGTGATGATAGTGAGACCATTGTGACATGAGCGGGCAATGCTGGAAAATGCGCATGGCAAATGTCTTCAAGTTTAGCGACGGCAGAGCTGGGTCGAGCGGCCGGATAAAGTCTTCGTAGAACCATTGTGCCTCCTCGACTTGGAAACATATCCGTTCAACTGACTCAAGCTCTTCGCGCGGGAGGTTGATGATGAACCGGACACACAGGTCATCCAGCCCTGTTAACAATAGCCCCGCGGGCCTCAGTCAGTGGCCTGTCGTTATTCCAATCGATCAGGAATCACTTACAATCTTCTAATTGCATCTTTGATTCTGTCATAGTGATGAATAGACTTTGGCATTTCAGCACACAAATGACCGAGAATCAGCTGCTCACTCTGTCCGACTGCGCAAACGGCCGAAACAAGCAAGCAATACCGTTGACAGCTTCCAGGAAGGGTGGACCAACCCAGGGCTGTGCTGCTATGGCGAGTTGACTAGCGGGGTCAAGGTGATAGCAGAGGAAGGTTTGTTGAAAGGGAGTGCTTCAGTGTTCCGATCGAATCAGAGAAAAAGAAGGTAAAACAAGGCGTTGGGAAACAGCGCAGCGCAGCGCGGAGCTGCCCAAATGATGATCGGGTGACTAAGATGTGGCGGTGCTTAATCTGAGCGCCACATGTGGCTGACCGGATTCCAAGATTTGGGACAATGACGTGTGACTTGGGATGTGCATAAACAGTTGATCGTCCTGGGTCTTCGTCATTCCTATATTAATCCCTTTCAGTCTCAGGGACAACTTTCTCCAACCACTTGCACGCGCCCTTTGTGTCCTTACTGAAAATAAGTGAAACGAGCGCCTACCGAAACTCCTTTCCCCCTCCTTGAGCCAAGAAGGGTTTAGGGTCTGGATCAAAGACTATACGCATAGTCTATTTTTGTTACCCTTGCTCGATATCCCTCTATTTCTTCGAACATTCTCCTGGGAGATCTCCTACTTCGACAACCCTTCAATACCCACCTGAGAAATCCGTGATCAATACCAAACATGTCGAAAGCGCTAATGTCTATGGTTGGGAAGAAGGTCCTTGGTGAAACTGCGAGAAACCACTTTGGAACTGAGGTGAGTTTATTTCCTCTCATAGGAATTTTCAATTTTGTCAATGAAGACCAAATTGACCGAGCCATTTCTATCTAGGACCCCTACTTCGAAGAAGTACCAGCTTCACGTCTCGCCCGTACATTCGGAAAGAAGACCCAAAAGCGTCGCAAAGCCATCCCGCCAGGCCTTTCAGAGAATGACGTCAAAGTCCTGACCAAGGTCAAGCGTAGAGCTTACCAGCTGGACTATGCTCTCTTCAACCTGTGTGGAATTCGCTTCGGCTGGGGAAGTGTGATCGGACTTGTCCCATTGTAAGTTCCAGCAAAACCGTGACCCGTCACAGACATGGACCAATGCTGATAATGGATGATGTGTAGTATCGGTGACGCTGGAGATGCCGCGCTCGCAATGATGGTTGTGAAGTCCTGCGAAGGAGTCGACGGTGGACTTCCTGCTGCTCTTCGCATGAAGATGATGATCAATGTGATAATCGATTTCGTTATCGGCCTCGTTCCTTTCATTGGTGATCTTGCGGATGCAGTGTACAAAGCCAACACCAGAAACGCCGTGATTCTCGAAACCCACCTACGCGAAAAGGGTGCCAAGACGCTCTCGAAGCAAACCAGACGACAAGAGCAAGCAGGCGCGGTTGATCTTAGCCTCCCCGATGCATTTGACAGACAAGAAAGTGGTGTGGTGGGCGAAAGTCCCCCGGACTATGAGTATGCCCACCCGTCGAGTCATGACACCCAGGGTCCAACCAGGCCTCCGCCTGCTAAGCAGTCCCGGAACCGTTCCTTTGGCAGGTGGTTTGGCGGAGCAAGCCATCCAGACGAGGATTTGGAGCGAGGCCGTGCCTAATTCGTGAAAATATTGAGATGACGATTTCAGATACCCCATGAGTGTTGATCAGTGGTTTGGGTGGAGCATTCCTCTTTTGTATTTCCGCTTTTCGTGCCGTTTTTAATAGTCCCATTTAGTCATGAATCGATATTTCCTTCAGCAGAGTGCCCCAGGGCGAGATCGCATACACCCGTAGCAGAATTGAGAACTTTGGCAATCTTCTGCCTGGCCAGCGACAGTAACCCCGACATTGCCCTTGACGTTCCCTAAAAGGCCACCACAAAGGGAACACGAGGGTGCAGTCTTGGTGTCAGATGGATCGAGTTTGTTGGCTGTTCTGGCCACATTCGCCATGACACCTGGGTACTTTGCCCCCTGGTTCTGGACGTACCGCATCATTAACTCGTCAATGGAAAGGTTCTTGGTAAGAACATTATCTGAGGGCGGTTCGTCGGGAATGATGATCTCAGAAAGCTCTGGAGTGAAACCCGCATACTCCAGCAACTCGGTCTTGTACAGATCTCGCAGCGGATATTGGAACTTCAACCCCCAAGGAGACATGCCGTCTGATACCTGCCAAGTGAGGGAAGCTCCGCGTCCTTTGGCCACACCAGCAAGCGCTTTTGCGGCAAGACGGCTGTCTGAATCACCCCAAAGCACCGATGTGCAACCAGACTTCTTCGCGAATTCAACGACGAGTCTAGTTAGCAAAGCGGTGTCCACATCCGTTTTGGAAGTGGCTGTGGAAATTGATGCGCGGAAGGCAGCCAGGCGCTCTTCATTCGATCTCGAGGTATCGTCTACGAACTGGGGTCCTGCATATTCCCGCATAATCTCCTCCATTTCTGGCACATACTCGAAGATGCTGTGGAATGGTATCCGGCTGACAGAGCGCATAGGGTTGTTTTTTTGAAGTGCTTCATAGTTTTGATCGCAGGGAGCGCTTGCAGCTGTCATGGTAGAAGGCTCAACAACAAGGATATGAAGGTCGTAGCCCATAGGGAGCTCGTTATCCAGGCGGCGCTGGAAATCGGTATTCAGCATGTGCAGCAAGACCGACGAGGAGACGCCGAAAGACATTGGGAGGAGCAACTGGTGGCGGGCACCATTGTTCTCTTTTCGAAACTTGTAGACTGTGTTGATATGCATATGGACTTTGTGTGTAATGAAGCGCTTAAAGCAGTGGCTGTCAAGAATTTGTTAGGACGACTTGGAGGGGTTTGTAGATTGTAGATTGTCGCATACCGACAAAGCTGCTTCTGGCGAACAGTAAGCTCGGATTCTGCATCCTTGCATTCCGTGCATGGCTGGTTCAGCTCCTTGACTGGCATAATGAGCTGTGTCTGTAGTATAAACAATCGTCGATTCTGGACTGGGGATCAAAAAAAAAAAAAAAATGTCGACTTTAGTTGTGAAATCGAAAGGTGGCGGTGCGGGCGGCTTAGATAATGGCCACGCGCGGCTTCCTGGGGCCGTTTGGGGCAATTGAACCTCGACGATCCCGTCTCCTTAACCTCCCATTTGCCTGTGCTGGATATACACCTACAATCAGCCTGGGTCTTTGTCTTCCTTCTCATCTGTATCAGTTGGTACTATTTGACCTTGAAACCCTTCCGAATCCCGGAGCCTAGTCTAGCTTCAACCTGCGTCTCGATGAAGGGCTGGCTTCAGACCCTGGGCCTGACGGCCCTATTAGCAGGCCAAGCGCTTGCTAATGATGTTGAACTGGTAAGTAAGCCCTCGATGAAGCTTCAGCCAATTGGTATATCACAGTCGCTAATGGTGTCGTGAACAGAAATCCGACGATGCGCACCGGCAACGATGCTCAGGGATGTACAGTCGCAAAGCATGGGGAGGAAGTGTCGACCCTTTCATTTTGGTGAAATTTACCAAGTCCGACTCTGCAGAGAGCGATCCGCTGGCCAGCTTGGTGATCTTTGAATGGAACGATGAGAATCTGATTGGGAGGTACCGGTCCGATGACGCTGAGGTACGTATCCCAAATACATCTAAAGAAGCGGCGCACTTAATAACTGAGCTTAGATCAAGGAAACAATCTGCGATGCTTCAAATGTGGAAGCGAAAATCTGTACCGAAGACCAGCTCGGCTCCTTTGTCCTCACCAGCAATGCTACCGACGTCTCACAAAACCCCATCATGTCAAAAGCCATCCACCTGAACAACCCCGATGCCGTGAAATACCCTGTCCGAAAGACTGGATTCTACTGCGTGAGCACGTACGCCTACTCCGGAGAAGACTACGGGGCCGTGGTCACCTTCCGAAATTCATACGGCGAGCTTCCTGCTGCACAGATCGCAAAGCTTCCCTTCTACGGAGCTTTGACGATTGTGTACGCTGTTATTGGAATGTATGTGATACTTCATACGTTTGGCCGGTCTTCGAACAGCTGCTTACACCAAATTTTAGTTTCTGGGCTTTCCTCTATGTCCAAAACCGTTACGATATTCGTATGTTGACTTTATCGCTGCTGAGGATCACCATGCTAAAAATTGACAGTGCCTGTTCAAAACTATATCACCGCGATACTTGTGTTCTTGATCGTTGAGCAGCTGATGACTTGGGGATTCTACGGTAAGAGAACTGTTATCTCCGTATTTTTACCACATCTAATATCTTTCAGAATTCCAGAACCGACATGGCTTGAATGGCGGCGCAAAGGCTTTCATGATCATAGTCGCGATCCTCAATGCAGGCAGAAACGCCTTCTCCTTCTTCCTCTTGCTCATCGTCTGCATGGGTTATGGTGTTGTCAAGCATTCGCTGGGCCGGACAATGATCTACGTCCGCATTTTGGCCATTGCTCATTTCGTCTTTGCGGTCGTTTACTCTATTGCCAGTCTGACAATTACTCCTGATAGCGCCGGTCCCCTCGTGCTTCTTATTGTCCTGCCGCTTGCTGGAACTTTAACCGCGTTCTACGTGTGGACCTTGAATTCCCTCAACGCCACAATGAAGGATCTCATCGACAGAAAGCAGAAGACCAAGGCTATGATGTACAAGAAGCTCTGGTGGTGCATCTTGGGCAGCATCATTGTGATCTTCGGTTTCTTCTTTATCAATTCGTTCGCAATGGCTGGAAGTAGCGATGCCGACTTTGTGCCCCAGCACTGGAAGGCCAGATGGTTCGTCCTGGACGGCTGGCTCAACCTGGTCTACCTGTTCGATATCGGTTTCGTCGCTTATCTGTGGCGACCAACTGCCAACAACCGTCGCTTTGCCATGTCTGATGAGGTATGGACTCGTGTGTTGAAACACTTTGAAATGTATTGCTAACTGTTATTATAGCTCGCTCAAGACGATGATGGATTTGAGATCCGATCATTTGGCAGCGGCTTGGATGAGGAGGATGCCTATGACGCTCCTCCAGACTACCCGGGCAGCTCAGCCGCAGAGGGCCGTCGTGACTTGTCACCCGTCCCTCCCAAGCCCTTTTCGTCGGCGCCCCGGCAACGCGAGTCTCTCGACGAGGAGACAATATTCGCCGTAGGTGAAGAGGATGGTGACAAGTGGTCCGACGACGAGTCCCCTCGCAACTCCAACGAGAGGGAAAGACTCACGGGTAAAAAAGACTAAACTAAATACGGTTAATGTTTTCTATGTGGATGCTGTTTCTGGTGGGCGCAAGAACCATCACCTGGGGTCAGGCATCTGGCAGATTGGGTTGTCTTCTTTTTCGGCTTAGGCAATGTTCAACCGACTTCCGGGATGAGAATGCAAGCATTTCATGGCGTTAGTTTCTTTTTCCCACTTATGTCGAATACTTGTTTCTCCTGGCTTGTCTTGATTATATATTGTGGGTAGTTAGCAGTTTGTCCAATGACAGCCGTTTCCCGATTATAACCCTGGTCATCCGTACGATGGGTGTTACTATGAAATAAATAACAAAACTCGTCTGACACAATTGGATCTAAGAATCAACTACGAGCGTAAAGAAGCCCGTGGAACTCTCTAGGGCTGTCAGTTTAGTTGAGTCATCGGGAGCCTCATCCATATCTCATATCTCATGCGGCAGCTGCGGAGCCGCACTCCATCCTCCGCTCTGACTCTTCAGGCTCTCTGAACAAAGTAACCTCACACGACTTGACGTGTCCCACATAATCTCTGGCACCACTCACTTGCCAGATCACGTATACACCTCAGCCTCATCTGATAAGAAAAAGAAATCCCTACCAGAGCTACCCCGCACCGCCACAAACCGCAAAACATCTCCAAGCCTCCCAAACCCTATACCAACAAACCCTATCATACCTCCACAGTCCTTACAGAGCAATCTACCAACGCACCCAGTCGAACGATATTCCAACCCGACGTCTATAACGCCTATATCAACCACAATGCCACCAGACACACACATCGACGACCTTCCCGAACGCAAGACGAACGAAGAAACAAGCGCAACCCTCTCAGCCGAACTAAAAGCAAGCTGTTTCAATCTCCTCTCCGAAATAGACACCTACCAATCCCTCCTGGCATCAACACTACGCAATCCACAGCTCGTGGAAGCGCGCCAGTTCAGATCAAATGTCAATTCCGAATTGAAGATGCTCGATAAATTGGAGAGACAGATGAAAAGTGCTACCATTACTAGTGCTAGCGGTGATATGCAAGGAGAGGAAGGAGCCGAGCTCGATTTCGAAGTAGAGAAGCGGTTATTGCATGCGCTGCGCTCATCAAATCTACCGTTTTATCAATCTGTTTGGGATATAGCCAAGGGGTCGTGTTCTGGTTTGACTGCGCTTGGGAAGCGGTTTTATTGGGAGGAGAAGGGGCATTCTAAAGCTCGGGAGACGACTGCAGAGAAGAATGATGGTGTCGGGCAAGGCGAGAAGCAGCCCAATAAGGATAAGCGCAATAGTGTGTTTGTGGATATTGTTTCTGATGATGGGGCCGAATGGGTGAAAGTGTCTACGGTCACGCAGGATCGGCTTTTGTTTGAGATGGCGAAGAATTGTTGGGAGTGGGAGAATGATTCGGAGGATGAGATGGAGGGGGAGGATACTATGGAACATGTGAAGGTCGAGGGTCGGATGCTTCCGATGACTCGGAGAACGCGCAACATGTATGGAGATGACGGAGATGATAAGCTGGAACTTATTCGGTTGGCGGTGGATCTACGGAAGGCGGCTGATTCTACACTGGTTGGGTATAAACATCCTCGCATTCGCGTTGTTTTGCCCAGGATCGAACAGGGGAATATTGATGAGATTGATGATATTATTGAGGAGATGCGGAGTTGGGGTATGGATGTTGATTGCAAGAAAAGTCTGCAGCTAACGACTCACTCTGGGTTGGAGCATCTTCTTCCTCATCCGTTCAAGAAGTTTACTTCTACCCTGAATGTCGATTGCACTCTCCTCCTTGCCATGGTATCTGACTTGTCGCACTTCAAAGACATTCCGCCGGAGCCCCATTTTCACCGAGCAATCCTTCGACAAATTGAGGTTGAAAAGCAAAAGCCACTGCTTCCAACGGAGCTCTGGCCCGCTATGGGTGATCATAAGCTTGTTTGCACAAAAGAAGCTGCTGGGCGGATGCGAGAAATTGTTGAAACCATTGGCACTGAAACAGAGAAAGCCCGCACTCAGATCATGATGGGTGATCCCCCATATGGGCAACTTGATCACACTGCTATGCTTCAAAGGTTCCAGGAACTTTCAGATTATGAGGTTCCCACAGAGTGGAAACTTCCCATCAGTCTAGTTGATGTCCAACCAACCTTTGGTTCAACTCACAAACATGGCAACATTCCTCCAGTGGATCAGGAACTTGCAAACGAGCTGTCGGATATCAATTACAGTGTGTTCATGTATGGCTGGTTCAACAATTTGACGACAATTTCCAGCAATCGGACCATCAACAAACAAATCGAATCCACGGTCGAAAAGCACAGGAATGGGGATCCTTCTTTGGAAGGCCCCAAAGTATGGATCTGTGACACAGCACGGAGTTTGGTGGGCAAAGACAAAGATCGAAAAGCATAGTCATAGAAGTCCGTTTTCGGACAATAGAAGTCATGATAGAAACACCACAGACCTTTGAGAAACTCGTCAATCCATCAATCCGCTGATGTTGTTCTGTGTTATTTCCGTCATGAGTATTGCATTGATGGGCTTCTCCGTGATAGGCATTTCAGTGATTGGTGTTAGGGGTGGTTATTGGAATTTGGGCCTTGCTTGACCTTCGTGGGCTAGATCATGCTTTACTTCTCCGCTTCGGCGGGTGCCCAGAAAACGACTTCTTTATCTGCTGAAGCAAGCATGTTGTATCGCGGGTTGAATTCAACAAGGCTAGCCCTGTGTCGGTAATGCAGCTTAGTAGTCGGCTGCAGTGTTCCATTTGCCTCGGCCTGCTGCTGCATGTCCCACACAAGCAGATCGCCCTGTTCGCCATTGCAACCAACGACGTATCGGCCGTCAGGAGTGAAGCATGCATCTCCTTGTCCAAGGGGCTTTCCAGACGTGGAAACTGGTGCAGCACGGCCGGATGACCCACTCTTGCCAACAAGGAAAGACTTGATCTCACCGGTAAAGGCATCGAGGATATAGTGGCCATGGTAATCCGTTCCGAGCATCAGGTATTTTCCATCATTAGAAAACTCCAATCGAGTCCAGGCTCGTCCCCGAGTCGACGGTGTGAATCCCTCTTCAAAGGGCGCAAGGTCGAAGGTGGCAAAGGGGGCTTTGTCGAAGTTACGGAAATCGTAAAGAAGCACTGAAGACGTTGACTGAGAGGCAATTGCGATCACTGAAGCCGAAGGATCGAAGGTAGATAGGTACGGAGTCGCAAGTTTGAGTTTGCCCTGAGGATTCCGTGAGTTGAGGTCCCAAATCACCACAGTATCATCTTTGGAGCAGGATATGAAAGCGTCACTGCCGGGGCAAAGGCTGAGGGAGGTAACATTGTCGGTATGCCCAGTGAAATAGCGAATATATCCCTCATTGTGTGTATCAAGCAATCGCAGAGAGTCTGTGAATGGTAAGCTACATAAATCAAAGCAGGACCATCGAGTGACATACGGTCAACCTTGGTACTCGCATGAAGGACTTGGCGAGAGTGGTGGGTAAATCTCGCGAGATGAACACCATACTTCTTGCTGGCAACTGTCTTGCTATGCTTGCCTTCCTTGATATCAAATAGATGCATGGCCTCATCGTCACCCGCGCTGACTAGATGCTCGCCCTGGTCGTCAAAATCCAGAGATGTCACGTATTTAGTCCCGACTTCCTTTTTCGTGGTGTTGAAACCCTGCACGAGAGCACTGTCAACATGATCCCCGTACACGCAAGTGTCCAGATAGACATACCTTCATAGGGCGGAAGGCCCGAATGGTATCCGAGAGTTTCTGGGACTGGAGGGGAGCTTGGGCAGAGGGCGGGCCCTGCTGGGGTGTTGACGCTTGACCTTCAGCCATGATGGAAGATGACAAGGGGAGGTCAAGAGGAGGAGAAGTGAAGGAAGTCTGTAAACAAAAACAAAAAACAAAATTTGGGCTCAAAACATTCTCATCGATAGCTTCTTCCCCAAGCTCCAAACGCGCCTGCTTTTTTGTGGCGAGCCTCACCGCCCTGCTTATATAAAAACCCGGGGCTGGCCCGAGGTCGGCCCTGCCAGGCACCATTGACCAATCACCGTGTGGCAGACTTCGATTCGCCGCATGTAAGCTTTTATGCACTTATCTTCTCCGACATCTGACGAAAGACCTCATAATATCCATAGACGGCGTTGGCTTGGTCATACAGGCAGAATATCTGCACATTTCCCGCCTCGAAGCCTTCTTCTCGCCACGTTCGTGTCATCGCGGGTCCGATATCCCTCCGATAGCCGATACAAGCCTCAGCAACCCGATCCTCCTCCACATACTCTCACCCAAGCGCTATGTCTACCACTACAGGGTATGGGATATCTATGTGCTTTCAGATTACCTGTGGGACTTGCGCTAACAGATATAATTGAATAGAGCGTTCCTCGCAGGCGGTATCGCAGCATGCGGTGCAGTCACCGTTACTCATAGTTTCGAGACGGTGAAGATTCGGTGGGTTCCGAAAACTCCCAGTGTGGATGCGAAATTATACTGACATGGATAATTGGGTCAAAGGTTACAACTGCAGGGTGAATTGCAGACAAAAAACGAGGCCGTGAAGAAGTACAGGGGTGTGTTGCACGGTGTGAAGGTCATTCTTCAGAATGAAGGGCCTCGTGGCTTGTTCCGTGGTATTGGGTCTGCTGTATGTGATCCTCCAAGTGACATGCATTTGCGCAAGTACCCCGCTAATCTCGAGACCATTTAGTATGTCTACCAGGTGTTGCTTAACGGCTGTCGTCTGGGCTTCTACGAGCCCATCCGCTCAAATCTCACATCCGCTATCTATAACGACCCCAAGATCCAATCTCTCGGTGCCAATGTCTTCGCCGGAGCCGCTTCAGGTGTTATTGGTGCTGCCGCAGGATCGCCCTTCTTCCTCGTGAAGACCCGTCTCCAATCCTACTCGCCCTTCCTCCCTGTCGGTACCCAGCACAACTACAAGAACTCATTCGATGGTCTGAGCAAGATTTATAAGAGCGAAGGTGTTAAGGGCATCTATCGTGGTGTTGGCGCAGCCATGATCCGTACTAGCTTCGGTAGTGCCGTCCAGCTACCAACATACTTCTTTGCCAAGCGCCGCTTGACCCGCCATCTGGGTATGGAGGAAGGCCCTGCTCTGCACCTAGCCAGTTCTGCGGCTTCCGGTTTCGTTGTGTGCTGCTTCATGCACCCTCCTGGTACGTGCCCTCAAGATTGAGCTGAGCTGTATCCGTCCCATGCTGACACTTTCAGACACTATCATGGCTCGTATGTACAACCAGACTGGTAACCTGTATGGTGGTGTTTTCGACTGCTTGTTCAAGACGATCCGCACCGAGGGTGTCCTTGCTATCTACAAGGGCTTCTTCGCTCACCTGGCCCGCATCCTGCCCCACACTGTAAGTGCCGAGTCTAGACTCGCATTGTTATACACACGCTAACCCCACCTCTAGATCTTGACTCTCAGTCTCGCGGAGCAGACCAACAAGTTAATGCGCCGTGTCGAAGACCGGGTGCTGCCCGACTCCTACCGTGAGAAGATCTAAACATAGGAAACATAAGGGTTCCTAGATCCAATGCCATCTACGGAGTACATTGTTTGGGTCGATCTTGGATGTTTCATGTTTTTGTTCCATAGACTTGGCGTCAGGTATCTCGACTCCGATTTTAGAGGAGTCTGTACATATCTTATCAAGGATTGTCAACATATACAGATCAACACGTGACAGACAAAGTATGTGGAGGTTGCCGGTGCACCGAACCTCAAACTCGGCTGGCTGGTGGGCCTGGACGCGCCTGGCAACTCGCAAGGGATCACTTGCCACATTGCATCTATAAAGGGACCGAGAGTTTGTAGATCGGTATCTTCGTGTAGCACGCAATTGAAACACGGCTGAAAATATAGTTCAATGGCCAGTCCCAAGACCAGCTAGCCAGATAACTTATAACTTGAGACAGCTGCCTTGGACACGCGAGCTAAGATGATCAGTGCTTTTTCCGAGGCGCGTGAGGTTCCACTCCCAGAAACTTCTGTTCTGTATGGGGTAAAAGCTCCTGCATTCTTGTTACTTGACAGGGACTACCACATGTTAAGGGAGACATTCTATTCTCCTATATGGACAGAGAGGAGATCTGTATAGAACGATACATAGGTAAGAAAAAAGCGTGCATATGGCTACCTAGGTAACTAGACGCGTGGGGAGCTTAGCTAGAGCTGACACACCCTTACACGATCCCTGGAGACCCGACAAAGACAAATTGATTAAAATCGACGAATGAGGTCTGATGTCTGACTCTAGACCGCCAATTACATCCGTAAAGCCGCCTTGTTTCTTGCGTCGCGTCGCGTCTTTGTGGATTTCAAGTTATCTGATCAAGAGTGGAGACCATTACGTCGAGCTGAAAGGTTGCCCAGGCGCCTGGAGGACGCGTCGGTTTCGGTTTCTTTATGCTGTACGCTGGTATTATATTAGCGTTTTAAATACAGCAACATATGTGTATTTGTGCTAGCCAGTCTCCAATATTGACCTTCGAGAAAAGGCATTAAGTTTAGATAAGATCGGACATGTAAGATGGGGCATGCAGGGGCTTGGAATGGAGTAAATCCTGTCGGATGTTGCTAGGAACCAAGTGGCATGAGAAGTTGGGCCCAAACGGGAAAGAAAGGCTTGGGCGACGCGCTTTTTCCGGTGACTAAGCGGGGCGCGAGGTCACGTGCGACGTGACTTAGCACGTCTCTAGCGCGATTTCTCTCCAGTACTTAACTGAGATTATTTTCCCTCGCTGAATCCCGATCTCCTTCCCATCCCACTTTGCAAGCTCTTGTCCATTCTTACTTGCTGTTTTTGCCATCGAGAACTGTCCTGTGATACTTGATTCCTCACATACTCATCCCAATGGCCGCTCAAGTCACTCCCTCCAAGCAGGTTCGTGATGTCACGCTATCGCCTCTCGCGCCAGACGCGTCGCAACCCTCGATTATACTAACCCATATGCTTCCTCAGGCTGCTTCCTCCCTCGAAAACCTCAAGATGAGCGACTCGCCCGTTAAGAAGCTCGACTTCCAGTCGGTGGGCAAGGAGAACGCGCCCGCGTCTGTCAAGCCCGTCGACGCGTCCTTAGAAAAGCCTACCGAGAAGGCCCTCGAGGCCCCCAAGGCTGCTCCTACTATCAAGGAGCTCGAGGCAACTGAGCCCCTCCTCCAGGAGAACCCCCACCGTTTCGTTATGTTCCCTATCAAGTACCACGAGGTAAGTCACGTCGCCGACGCGTCCAACGCGTAAAGTGGATTAGTGGGGGATACCTTCAGACGAAGAACATCAAGGCTAACCGTGTCTCTCTGGATAGATCTGGCAAATGTACAAGAAGGCCGAGGCCTCTTTCTGGACCGCTGAGGAGATTGATCTATCCAAGGATCTCCACGACTGGCACAACCGCCTCAACGATGATGAGCGTTACTTCATCTCCCACGTCCTTGCCTTCTTCGCTGCCTCCGACGGCATCGTCAACGAAAACCTGGTCGAGCGTTTCAGCGGAGAGGTCCAGATTCCCGAGGCTCGTTGCTTCTACGGTTTCCAGATCATGATGGAGAACATCCACTCCGAGACCTACTCTCTACTCATTGATACCTATATCAAGGAGCCCAAGCAGCGCACCTACCTCTTCGATGCCATTGACACCAGTAAGCTTCACTCACTTGCTCCCACACGTACTCTTGGCTGACCCATCATCCAGTTCCCTGCATTGCCAAGAAGGCTGAGTGGGCCATCCGTTGGATCAATGACACTGAGTCAACCTTCGCTTCGCGTCTGGTTGCCTTCGCTGCTGTCGAGGGTATCTTCTTCTCTGGTTCCTTCGCCTCCATCTTCTGGCTCAAGAAGCGTGGTCTGATGCCCGGTCTCACCTTCTCCAACGAGCTCATTTCTCGTGACGAGGGTCTCCACACTGATTTCGCTTGTCTCCTCTTCTCTCACCTGAACCACCGCCCTGATCCCAAGGTCGTTGAAGACATCATTGTCGAGGCCGTTGGTATCGAGCAGGAGTTCCTCACTGACGCTCTTCCCTGTGGACTGCTTGGCATGAACGCCAAGCTCATGTGCCAGTACATCGAGTTTGTCGCTGACCGTCTCCTCGTGGCCCTTGGCAACAAGAAGTACTACAACTCTGCCAACCCCTTCGACTTCATGGAGTCCATCTCCCTGGCTGGCAAGACCAACTTCTTCGAGAAGCGTGTCGGTGACTATCAGAAGGCTGGTGTCATGGCCAGCACCAAGAAGGAGACCAACGCCGAGGGTGAGAAGGTCGTCAGCGACGGTCTTAACTTCGATGAGGACTTCTGAGCGATATCCTTCCACCCCACTCTCCTCTTGTTTTATACCCTCTCCCCACATGATATCACGCTGTTTCTTTTTTCTTGTTTTCATTGATTGACGGTTTGGCATGGGAATGGCGTTTCACTTGTTTCTTCTTTCTTGTCCATCCTGGACTCCTGGGTGTCTGTGGATGGATGGCGGATTCTGTGTATTTAGATTTTCGAATCACTTGTTATAATGTGTATCTGAATCTTGTCTTGGTAGATGTAGATATCTATTGGCGTGCTACCTAATTGAATCCGTCTTTATCTACCAACTTCGCCCTTAGCCTTAGCTGTTAGATGATCACTTGTCCCACTTAGATCCATGATATGCAGAAAACCAGAGAAGAACCCAATAATATCATTCAGGATATCAACCAAGCACACTCATAAAACACATCTATGCAAGCATACCACAATATGTAGAAGAACAAAACAACATTAATTTATCGCTTCCCCTTTCCACCCTTCTTCTTCCCCTTCCCACCAGCCTGACCCTGGCCTTGAGCCTGACCCTTCCCAGCCCCAGCTTCTTCAACAGGCGCAGCCACAGCCGCAGGCGCATCAACCATCTCCACATCCCCAACAGGAGCAGCGTTTCCTAACCCAAGCCCAGCAACATCAGCACCAGCAGCCAACTTCCCCAAGCTCGTAATTAGCCGAGAAACCTCCTGTGCCTTGTTCGTCCGGTATTGAAGACATATTCCTGTGCCGGGGTTGAATGTTTTCAGGGTGAGGGAGGCGATAGGGGCGGCGGGGGTTGCGGTTGCTTGTGTTGTGGCATTGTCTTTGCTGTTCTTTTTGGCTTGCGATTTTTGGATTCGCTTTGCGTTTCCTGGCCGTGTGGTTGGGAAGTTGTATTTTGTTGTTATCCGGGTCTGTTGTGGATTGGGGGATTAGCTTGGGTTCTTTTGCTTTTTTCCCCTTTTTGTTCTTTTGTAGAGTCTTGAGGGTTTATTGAGTGGTGCTGGGAAGGGGCCGGTGTGCTTGCCTGCTCCCGCGGGGAGAATCGAATAGACGGCGGGCTGGATCGGAGACTGGAATCAGCTTACCGTTTCTGGGTACGCCTGTAATAACTGCGCAGAATGTTCCAGGTAAGCCTGGGAGGTAGGGAGGTAGGGCATTTTGTGGTTGTGGCGAGCGTCTGTCTCGCTTGGGGTTTGGGTGAAGAGGTGTGGTGGGATGCGATGTGGTAAGTTGGCGAAGGCTTCCTCGATATTGCGGGTGGAGAGACAAATTCAGTTAAGGGTCGCAGGTTGATCCTGTGAGTCAATGCCCTGGAGATATCTGAGTTGGTGGTTGGAGATGTGTGGAGGTGTTATCAGTGTGCTGGTGGCTTTTTCCATGTCTTGGCATCGATAGTCGGTACGTCGAACTATATCCTAACGAATAAACCAACACATATTTGACAGGTTAGCAATCTATGTTTCGCTCCTTTTGCTACTTTGGAAATGATATTTAGGGTCTTCTCAGATCTCTGTCTATATTTATCCCACTATCTCGAATGCGCTTTAACAACTCGTTTGAATCCCTAGCAGTCTTCCAAGGTAAGCAACAAAGATTCACCTAGCGGATGCCATAAAGACATAGAGTGCTCCTATTTTTCAATGACTCGTTGGATAGGACCTCGAACAAGTACAAAGTTTTTAGAAGTTGGAAGTTGGAGAGCCAGCTTGTACAGGAGACAGCCTCCCAAAGTGCCAGTGGAGCCTGTTAAGCAAACCGTCTGTCCTTTGGTACCATTCCGAGTGCATCGTGATATATTTCGTTTAAATTGTGGAACGGTTCTGGACAGGAAAAACATCATGGTAATCCTGGGGCAATTTGAAAAGGTATCAATTGACTAACAGCAAGGTAAACTCGCAGCGGTGAAAGGAGTGCAGCTTTCTTGCTTGGATTGTTCAGGCGAGGTGTGTCTATTTTCGGAGAGGAAACATGAACGACAGAAGAAGAAACCAAGTAGTTGTCAGTAGGACGTATTTTATATTCGTGCGAATATCATAAGACTTTGCTAGAGATACAAACTCTTAAGATGTCCCCCGAACTAAACAGATATATACAAATTCATATGCTTAACTGGGCACTTGTTCATGTATTACCAACCGTCTATTAGAAACTAAAGAGAGTAGAGATCAAGAAAAAGAAGAAGAAGAAGCAGAAGAAGAAGAAAGAAAAAAGAAAGAAAACAGATTATCGGATGTCATAGCATATTTTCAATTGAATATTATACCCTATCTCTCAATAATTAAGCTAACACTATGTCATGCGCCAGTAGTGAAATTTTAGGGTGATCATAGCAACAATTGAGGTCAATAGGGTAGTTACAATCACCTCAAATAGTGGCTATGCTGCTCGTGGAAGATATTCTCGGTCAATCTCACACTTCCATCTACCAGTTTTGTTACTTCTAGCTACCTATTCATTTCAGCCTTCTCAGACTCCACTCATAACCCGCACAGTATAAGCCTTAACATCTGCTACGGGATCCAGAATGGGAAATGGGGAGTGTCGATAGATCAGTTCTTATATATGAAAGATTGCATTCAGACTGAAATACTAGCTATAGAAGGAAGTCAAGGAGTCTCGGTTCCAGGACCGAGATTGATTTTGAGTAAAGTAACATGAGACTCATATATCTTCATACATATCTCATATTCTCGTCGCATCTTGTACTATACATATCCTCAAGACATAAATCACATAAAATGTACACATAAAAGAGACTGATATCCAAAGAAAACAGAAAACACCACCATAATACAACATCCCCTAAACCAAATCCAAAGGATAAGGAAAAAGGAAAACGCCAAAAGTGCAAATCAAATCAAACCAACCCAACCCAAATCTTCATCCATATCCAACCCTAAGAAATAGGCCGATGGCACTGCGAACAAATAAGATTCTGCTTCCCATCCCTCCCCTTGACACTCCGAAAACTCGTACAACGACAATTATCACACTTAAGCACATCGTCCTCCTCACCACCAGCCGAAGAAGCATAATCACTACTCAGAATACTCCCCGCAGTACTCATCTTGCGCTCACGAATACTATCGGGACTAAGCAGCTCATTTGAATTGCGCGAGCGCATTGCCAATGCATCATGCGTGATCTTGTTCCAGTATGCGTAGCTGTGGTCACCCTGTAGCCAGAGCGGGTTGTCTTTGTTTTTTCCGCTGGCGACGAGGTCGGCGGATGACGAGGCGACTCTGTTTGGGGGTGGGACTGTGGTGGAGGAGCCGTTTCCATTGGCATGGTCATTGCAGGTGCCTTTGCCAGTGCCATTGCTTTGGCCGCGGGTGTGGTTCGTCCGCGTTGCGTCTTCGCTTGTGCGTCGGATGTCTAGGCGTGATCGGCGCGGTGAGGGGGGTGGGGAGTGCGTGAAGGCGCTGAGGGATTCGTTTGGGCCTAGGCTTGATGGTCTGGAGGATGAGAGGCGGAATGTCGCGTTGCGGTGCTGTGGGGATGGGCTTCGGGTGCGTAGACCGGAGCGGGAACCGTCAGTGCTGGAGCGGCCTTGGCGGATGACAGAGTTGCGCCAGGAGATAATGCGCTCGGAGGGTGTTTTGTGGGATGATTCTTTGCCGATTGAGGAGGTTACGCTGCGGCGGCCAGAGTTTGAACGGCGGAGGATGCGGCGGGAGATGGTTGAGTTTGCGTCCCAGTTTTCGAAGCGGCGTTTGTGGTAGGCGCAGTCTTGTCGCAGGATTTTGATCTTGCCGGAGTAGTCTGCTATGACTATTATGTCTCCACCTGGGTGTTTAGAGCGGGCGAGGTAGGAGGGGGATTCGTGGGCCATTTTGCTGATTATTGATAGTCGTGGTGCGGAGGCTGAGCGCTTGTGGCTTGTTCCGTTTTGCTTTGATGTTTCTGCTGATTCAGGGCCCATTAGGGCGACTGGCGGTGGGTTGCAGATGTCGTAGATTGGGTCTTCGGATAGTGCTAGGGCTTGTTTTGTTTGGACTGGCGCGGAGATGGCGGCCGTCACCATTGCGGAGTGCGTCTCGAAGACCTCTACAGCTCGCTTTTCGGAATCTCCTTCCACTAGCCCAATTGGCCATACGTATGCTCGGCGATCTTCACTTCCACAGATGATGTGCTTGCCGTCGTCTGTGAAAGTGGCTCGGATCTGACTGCAGGTGTTCTCGTTGCCGCGGAACTTGGCCTCCAAGGTTCGAGCATTGAAATCGTACATTCGAATGCGCGAGTCGTTGCTAGTAACCAGGAGTTTGATTTCACCCCGGTTGTCGCCTTTGTGGAAAATCATCGTATCGATGCCGGTAATTTTACTGCCCTTGGCGTTTCGCCCACGAGCTGATCGAACGTGGATCTGGGATGATACTTTCAGGCCCTCCGTGTCGTAGATGTTGAGCATACCGTTTAGACAGCCAGCAATGGAATATTTTCCATCAGGCGTGAACGCTACTGCAGTGATCATATCCGGTACGGCAGTCACAAAGGCAACGCTTTTGTCAGGAATACTCCATAGACGCAGTTTGGTGTCGAGTGATCCAGCAAGGAAGAACCGGTCGTCACGCGGGTGAAACTGTATCGAGGTTACAAAATCGCTGTGTTGGAAACAGCAGAGACATTCCGGTCGAGATATGTGCCACAGTCGCACTGTCTTGTCCATCGATGAGGACAGAAGGAAGTTGTTCTGGTTCGTCAATTAGTATGATCTTTTCCCAATCAAAAATTTAAAAATTTTAATGTGCTTCGCCATACTTTACTCCAGCTGAGATCCAAAATACTCCCCTTGTGGCCCTCATACACCTGAATTGGGGTTGGCTGAAACACAGGCGCCTTCAGCTTAGCAGTATCGTGTGCATCTACAGGGGTTTGCTCTTCCTCTCCATTCGCATTCTCACGCTCCTCCGGCGTAGAGATGACAGCCCACACTCGAACCTTGCGGTCCTGACCCGCAGCAGCCAAATACTTGCCATCTTTGGAGAACACAAGCGCCCAAACAGCCCGTCCGGTATGATCGCCATTCTGCGGCAAAGTGGACGACGTAGATATCCGTCTGTCTGCGACTTTGGGCGGTGGGCCGCCGCCCTCGAGTTCCTGGGCCAAGAAAACACGGTTGAATGTCTTGTCTTTCTTATAATGTGCGCGCACCTTCAGGTACTTGGCAGGTCCAGGGTGCCGAGCTATAAATCCAATTGGGTGGGAGGTGTCGACGGACATGCGGCTAGCCTCCGGTTCTGAGGTTTCATCTTCCGGCTCGGAAAGCTGGTCCTTCTTTTTGTTTCCGATGATTCGGCTGAGGAAGGAGACGCCTTTTCTGTGGTGATGAACACGGTATGGGTCAGTCGCTGATATATGTGCATGGCCGGCCAGATCTTGGTGGGGGAAAACTTCCAAAGCGGACTATGCGGGGGATCGCACAGAATCCTGCATGACACAAAGGTGCCGGAGTGACGTTTCACAAGACTGGCAGACTGGACGTGAAAACTCACTTCTTCTCCTTGGGGGGCTTGGTTGGTGATGAATCCCCCGGCGCTGGACTTTGCTCAGGCTGGCTGTACTCCGATCCCACAGCTTCAGCTTCATATGACGCTTTCCCCAGCAATTTCAACGGAATGGATTTCTGCGTATTTGTACGTTGGATGATATGCTAAGCACGGTCCTCGTGTCAGCTCTGACAAGCACATGACCCCGTATAGACCTACCTGCGATAGCGGATCTATAGCACTTGATTCGGTCTTTGCCTCGTGTAAGGCATTCGTCTCTCGCAGCGGACTCGCCGGCGGCCGTTTGGCATTGCGCGCATCTTGACTCTGGCTCGAGCCCGACGCGACGTCCGAAGTGGCCGAGCCTGAACCAGTCAGCATGGTCATTGGCATGGCATATTTCCTTGTTTTTGTATGCGCTCGTGATAGGCACGTTTATGGCCCGGATTGGAATCGCAACGTACCCGGGAATGTTGCGGCTCGGAGGGGTGACTTGTCCCTTATTGGACTCGTTGGCAGAGCGAGATTGTCTCCGTCCATCTCTCGCGCATGGAGATACTTACAAATACATAGGTGGGATGCGAAGGGAAAAAGCGGCAAATCGGCAAACACCGGATGGCGGGCATGACATCAAACGGGTGGAGTTAGACCCTTTTGCTTGATAAGATCTAAGAATTGGCCAAGGCTCTCCACTGCGTTTTATTTATATTTATATACAGTATGTCTATAGTACTTGGGTACTTGGGTACTTCGATAGGATTGCACTAGATGCGCGCCTGCAGCTTTTTCGCTCGGTCTTTCGCAATGTCGCACATTCCCTGTCGAGTCAGAATAGAAGCAACAACCAGACAGAACAAACTCACCTGAATCGTCTCTTCGATTTCGCGCTCGGCATCACCGCGATCAATGCGCTGACGCATCTCCACCATAATCACGTCTCGGCTCCGGCCGTTGACGAATGTGCTGTATACAATTAGACCCGACCATACCACCTCACCAGGCGAACTTACACAAAGCGCAAGCCGGGGAACTTTTCCTCGTATTCAGCATTCAGCGCAATTAATTTTTCAGCTTGTTCCTCTGCGCCCGTGTTCAATTGGGCCTGTTCTTTCTTGCTCAGCTCACTCAGATGCTCCGGGTTGGCCGGGGCGCGGCCCAGCCGGGGATGAGAACCCAGAATGCCAAAGAGCACGTTGCGGTCGGTCGGGGAATTCGGGGCGGACAATGCAGACATGCGAGCCCCCACTGCATCAATCAGGGCCGTGTAGGTCGTGAAGCTCTGAGCGAGCACGGGGATCATCAGTTGGTGGAGCTCTGGTGAGGGCTCGAACAGTGTGTCTAGAACCCGGAGCTGAGCCTCCTGGGGTAGGCTGGTGATCGTCGATGGCGGGGGAAGGTCGGTCATAATGCGAATGAGGACATTCTTTGAGTGTTCGGGGATTGCAGTGATTAAGTAGAATCTTGGATCCCCCGCCTTCGGGGGACTCCGTGGGCGGAGTCCAGCGGGAGGTGATAAAGTAAGTTGTATGCTTCAACATATGTATAAGTTACTATACTATATAACTGTTCCATGGCAATTGACCTTATTTGCAAGGTTACATGCGCTCAGGTCTCCGATCCTTCGATCCTTTGCCTTTTACTTGTACCTGAAGTACCTAACCTAAGTTCCTAAGTCCGAAGTATCCAAGTTCCAAATTTTCAAGTGCTAACATTACCAGGAATCCTCTTCAAAAGTACTAAAGTCAGACATTCCAAGTTAATGTTGGAATGTAGAATGACAATGTGTAAGCGGCCCTGCTATAAAGAGTACGAACGCCGTGTTTCAGGATGGCGAGTTAAATTGGGATAACCGCAAAGGTGGAGTTGCCGAAGCCACCCCTGAGCCGTTCCAAGAGAGGTGAGAGGTGAGAGGTTCGTCTATCAAGATTCTTTTCAACTGCCTCACTTGCTAGACGCCTTGATTGGGCACATCGCGATCTTAAGATCCGATCCGCCCCATTTACACTCCTCCGGCCTAGAACAGTTTCTCCTTTATATTTCCCCCTCGGCTTTGCGCCTACCCTTCTCCATGCGGTCCACACCATGTCTTTGAATGGGCTAGATACCGCCGCTGTCGTTGAAGCCTACCAAAGTGCTCTGGCAGACGCCGGTGGGTGGTGAGTACCCCTATATAAACCGTTTCGTGTGACAGGGACACGTTATTGACCCCTGTGTTTCAGGTTTCTGCTGCATTATGTGGCCAGAGATGAAGTCGCTCTGCTCGAGCGAGGAACTGGCGGGGTGCCCGAGATTCGGAATGCCATTGACAGTTATGAAGAATCCTCGCCGCTCTACGGCTTCCTCCAGTATCGGCGCAGAAAAGTGATCATTCGCTATATGCCGGAGGGGTTATCTCGCCTGATACAAGGTACGCGCAAAGTCACTCTGCATCTGCATTGGTCTAACATCTCCCAGCTCGAAGCAATGTCCAATTCACCTCCGTCACCGACAAGTTCACCCCGAACGACACCGTCCTCCCTTTGTCTAAAGCCTCCGATCTCACCGAAAGCGCCCTGTCGTCCGCATGTCTCCTTCACACCGCTTCAACCTCTATCACTTCCTCGTCGAGCTCCCTCCGTCGTCGCCGGCTGATGGAAATCACAGAGGATGCAGAGGAAAATGGCACCAGGGATGAGGCCCCAAGCCCGGTGCAACATTCCCAAAAACCTCCTCAAATACCTCTCCAAAAACCTCCCCAAAAACCTCCCCATCTTGTGAACCATCAACGATCAGAGAGTATCCAATCCGAAGCCACCATAGTGCCGCCCCCTGAAGAAACCCCACCGGAACTGCAAACGATGTCGCCAGATAGTGATAGGGCTGTTATTGAACCCATGCCCCCGCCATCGCGGGCAAGCTCGAGAGCTCCGTCTCGTAGAAGTCCCAGTGAACCTCGCGGAAGCCCGAGTGCATCATTCTCGGCAGCACAGTCCCCTAAGTCAAGCGACCTCGAACGCTCCAGCTCTCGGTACCGAAATATTCTCGATGAATTCCCCCGTCCGTCAGAGGAGGCACGTATGTCTACTCAATCCGCGCGCCCCTCACTCCGAGATTTGGAACGCGCCGCTGGATTCACTCCAAAGGTCAAACTGGGACCGAGGCCGTCTGTCGATAGCAGTGGAAGACCCCGCACAGCGGGCAGCACTAGAAATGCAGACCAGAGGCCTGTCGCGTCCCTGCCTACCAATATGCGCTCTTCTTCCGTGCGGAAGCCGAACCCTGATGCCCCTCGTCCTCGATCTCAGGGAAGCACCTTCGCCGTCAAGCCTACTAGTCGTGTACCACCAGTTCCACCTCTGCTTGTTCCGCCTCCATCGATTCCTATCTCCAGGCCTCAATTATCTCCGGGTGCTAAGTCTCTAGGGGCTTTGTCTACTTCCTCGGGATTGAGTCCCGAGAAAGAGCGGTTGATGAAGGCTCTACAGCAGAGGAAGAAGAATATGGCGAAGCGGGCCGAAGAGACGAAGAAGAAGAAGCAAGTTTCTGAGGGAAAGAAGCCTGAGAAGGAGGTTCAGGAACTGGAGGACAATAAGGAGAATCTTGCTGAGGCTCCTCAACTCGAATTTGAACGGCCTGGGACCGAAACGGTTCAGCAAGATCAACCAGATACTCCGTTGGGAGCAGCTCCTTCGGCTCCCGAGCCTGTACCTGAACCTGTTCCTGAATCGATGCTCAAGTCTACCCCTGAGCCGACTGTTGAGCCCCCTGCTGAGCCAGTTGAGGCTACCCCCGAGCCTGTTCTAGAAGCTGTGGAACCTACTCCCGAAGCAGCCGTGGAGGCTATTTCTGAGTCTATTTCACAGGACCAGCCTGCCGTGATTTCCGAAGTAGTGCAGGCTTCCGAGCCTCTCGAGTCGTCTCAGCCAGAACCGACCGCTGATGCTCCTGTGGCAAAGCCCGAGGTTGGCCCAGTCTCGCCTATCTCGCCTACCCTTCATACTACAGTCTCTGGACGCGTTGATACACCTGTTGAGACTGTTCAGGCCGAAACATCGCAGGCACCCCCTGAAGCTGAAACGCGCCTTGAGGACTCCGCAATCCCTGATCGTGCCCCACCTAGCAATGTCGACGTCCCACTCCAAAATGAATCCTCCGAGGCCCCAGAACCGGAATCAGACCCCCAATCGCATTTCCAATTTTCTATCCAACCCGTGACAGATTCACTGGACACGCCTGAGCCTGCTCCAGTTGAATCCGATCCCATTCCTGCCACTCCCTCTATCACTCCTCCTCAAAGCGCCGACAACGACCTTCCGGTCGCGCCCATTTCTGTCTCTGTCGAGCCTAGCCCGGTAGACAAAGTCGCCCCTGAGTATTCACCTGCTCAAAAGGCTGAGCCTCTTCCCTTGGACCAGAGGCGGCGGGTCCACTTAGAACCTATTCAAGTACCCACCCCGGAGTACTCTGACGACGACAACCTCCTTTCTGACGATTCCTTCATGGAGGAGCTGACATCAGCCACTGTTCAGGAGGCAAGACCGATTTCTGTCAAGTCCCCTAACGGTGGTGACCATGGCTGGCGAAGCTCTCGTGCTGTCTCGAGCCCGTACTCTGCCGCATCGCCGTCAGCCATGCACGCGCTGGCAGTTGGAAGATCGGTCTCTAGCTCTTACAGTGAGAATGGCCCCCCTACGCCGGTACTCATGGCCAAGAAGATCAATGTCTCCTCTGGCATTTCTAGTCGTATCAAGGCTCTAGAGAAGTTCTCGAGTCGGGAAGGCACTCCTATGGGCTCGAGTCCGACCGTGTCTGGACCGTCGGCCGCCTCATCTTTTGAGAACCTTCGCAAGCGCACGTCTATCTCGCTGCCCAGCGGAAACGAAACCACTCCGCCGTCAACCATGCATTCCGCTCACCCAGAAGGCTTTAGCCGCGCCCCGAGCGTGAGCCGCCACGACCCTCGTCGGATGTCTGTGGATGCCATGCGCCGTGCAAACTCAGTCTCCGTAACGGCCCACATTGTGCGCGATTCAGATATCTCCCCCGGCTCATCTGGAGTTGAACCCTCGGAGTCTGACGTTCTCGGCCTCCACGCCAGTCCATTGACTGTTGAGCACGAGATGGCCGATGAGCCTCCGTCATCCCAGGCATCAATCGCCGAAACCTCCCGTCCTGAGGACCGAAGCATGTCAATGTCATCTACCGGGTCTGGTCGTCCATCGTCATCTCGCCCTGGTAGCCGACTCTCTCTGTCATCTCGTCCAAGGACTAGCGAACCTGCCCAATCTGCATCCCCCACTTCCGAAGACAAGAAGGCATCCCGCGCGTCGCGCCTCATGCGCCGTATGTCATCCATCACATCGACTTCTCGTCGTAGCATCATTGGTGCCCTAAGCTCACCAGTCAAAGAAGAAGAGTACACTCCCACATTTGGAAACAGCTCCAGCGAGGCCCCGACATCCACGACTTCTCGTACTTCCGAACCTATCGATATCGGCGAAGTCAATGTCCAGTTCCCAGACACATTACTCTGGAAGCGACGGGTCATGCGCATCGACGAAAATGGTTTCGTCGTGCTCACTCCCGGCACCAACGACGCCGCCACCCGTAACATGACCAAACGCTACCATCTCACCGAGTTCCGGAAACCTTGTCTACCCGAGGAAGATATGCAGGAACTGCCCAACAGCATTTTGCTCGACTTCCTGGACGGAAATACGCTCCAATGTGCCTGCGAATCGCGCCAGGGACAGGCGTCTACTCTGCAGAGTAAGTAACCTATCTCATTTCAACTTTGAATAATAAACTAACAGACACCAGCTCTCATCGACGCCCACAGCGCCCATCAGCAATAAACAATTCCATCGGTAAAAGGGCAGGAATCCTGACACTGATATTCTTCGCTTCATTTTCCACCACTTTGTTTCGAGCCCGCCTGCTCGCCCTTGTTTTCTACCTTTCACACTTCACTACATAAGCATCTTCAAATCTAGTTTTCTTTTCTCTCTCTCTCTCTCTCTCTCTCTTGGCCTCCCATCTCCCTCCTTCAACCATCTGTTTCCTATCTCTTATCTCTCTCTCTCCCTACCTGTACCTTTATCTCCTTTTCTCTCTTGTCTTCTACGTGGTGTGATATATGTGGCATGTGTTCTTGGTATACCCCTCCGAGTGAAAAAACTACTTCTCTTTCTGATTATCCCTCCCGATTTACTTTCCGTCGTGTACATACAGACGTGATCTCATCTTCAATCCCTTTGGTCCCTTCTTTGACTGTCTATCGTCCTTGCATACACTCTGTGGTCTGTGGCCTTGACATTTTGAGTATTGGTGTTTGAAGTACTTCATTTCTTGTTATTATTCTTTTTCTTCCCTTATCTAGACTTTTCGTCCAATTGAGATTTCACCTGGACTTCGAGGTGTGCATTCGTCTGGTTTTAGTCTTCATCTTTTCCGTACATTTTGCATGTCTTGCTCTTAAATTCTTAAACTGTCATCGATAGCCTATCAGCTTAAATATGGCGTTTCTGGACCGACCTATGTATAGTAACTTATACATCAAAACGTCATACTCCTCATGTCTCCCAATTCCACAACTATACAACAGGTGCCGGAAGTCCTTTCCCCTCCCACCTTTTTTTGATCTACATACTGAACCCGAGGCACTCAAAAAAGGGCAAGAAAAAGAGGCGCAAAAAGAGGAGAGGGGCCAAACCAGGACGAAAACAATGCATGAAACGGTACACTCGCTTCGAGGCTTAATTATATAACCCGTCCAAATACTTCATAGCACTGCTTACACATTTATGACCCCCTGTTGTAGGAACAATATAAAAGACTTATACTACGCCTAAACAAAACCAAAATCCAAGAGACTACAATACTGAAGCCTACTGTAATTCAACCTACCACGGGGTACGTAGAGAGTAAAAAAAGGGGCTGATCCATGCCCATTCCGAAAAATAATCACCAGCAAAGTAGTGACAGCCAGCAACCAGATTTCTGTAGCAAAGAGCAATACTCTTCGTATGTAAGCATCGTTTTGTCCATGCTGGCCCCTGTCCCTGTCCATGTCTAGCGAGATTCAGTGTTAGTCCGTAGAACGCCATCTGCCCGGTACATTTCTGTTCTAGCTCCTAACACCTTTATTCTACCGTTCATGGGAAGAGAGAGAGGATGTGTTCGGTTCGTATCTGTGGTGCAGATGGTTAGATATGGTGGATAGTGGTGATAGAGAGGGAAGTGGCATACCTGAGTGTGTGAGAGTAAGATGAGGGAGAGAGGAGAGAAGAGGGGAGAAGTATGTAGATATAGGAGATGCCTTCATTTCTCCAGTGGTAGTCCGATATGAAATACCCTTTATCTTCGTGAAATCATAATCCCATCCCTCCTAATGGGCTTCGTGACACATAACGATCGTAGATTCAGCCAAGAAAAAGGATCAATTCAGGAATTGCCATTCACAAGATCTTCAATCTCCTCATCTTCTGAATCCTGACTTTCAGGCGTGGAATCTCCATTTCTAGAGGGAGCATCCAGGGCCCCGTCCAAGCCGTTTTCTTGGCCACCGTTCTGAGGCGCAGAATACATCTCCGGGAAAGCACTTCGCATCTGCTGAACATGCTGGTCGACGACGTATTGCATGAGATTACTAACAGGGAAAGCGGAATGCATCCGTCTCTCCGTCTCCATTAATTCAACCTTCATCTGCATTTCCCATTCGTGCTCGCCGGCATGGTCACCGATGATCTTCTTGCGCTCTTCTCTGTTGCTGTTTGTAATCACCTTTTCACATCCGGGCATGCGGCAGACCCATGTATCAGAGTCGGACTCGTCGCCGGATCCATCGAGTATTTGCGAGGACTCAGGGGTGGGGATTGGGACTGAAATTGGATCTGGCTTTGGTTTTGATTTTGCAGTACGCGCCGAGGTAGCTGTGGATGATTTCGGAATGTTGTCTTTGAATAGGCTCTTCATGAGAGTGCTGGAACCGACGCTACTGGAAGCTGATAGGAATGAACGGGTCCGAGGTCTTGAGGTTGAGAAGGGATCCCTGATCAATTCATGGCCACGGGTTTTGCTGGGCGTTTCGATTTCATCTTCATCCATGTCATCTAGATCATCTTCGTCTTCGTCATTGGATTCGATTGTTTGTTGGTTTGTGGAGGCGTTGCGGTTCCGCTTGCCGGTGACTTTGTTAGAGATTGAGTTCATCTTAGGACGTAGCACGGATTTCTGGGTTCGGCCATAGCGTTCGTCATCGCTGGATTCCTCTAGTGAATTCAATGGTGTTAAGAGTTCTCGAGGTAGAGGGGCGGATTTCGAGGCTGCGTTCGTGAGTTCTCGATGGATGACATAGCGAGACCATCTGAAGCCGGGTGTGTCTTCTTCTTCCATCATTTCGAGGACGGCAGATGCTCTGATGGCAATGATCTTTTCGGCGTCATCCTTGCTGAAAGAAAATCGGGAGGCCAAGCGTTCTGTCAGAAGGTCGAGATGCAGCCGACGCTTTGCCAAGTGACCTTCTTGTCTGAGGTCCTTAAGCAATTGGTAAACGGCATCGGCTTGTGACTTTGAGATTGCAGCGGGGTCGTGTCGTGGGGTGGACACTTCAGGTTCATCCTTGGATGTATCCTCTTCGTCATCGGATGAGGGAAAGAGCTCCTCCATGAGCTGTTTATATTCATCCTTGGCTGATATCAGTACCTCTGTAAACTCGTGCATAAGGCTTGTACTTGTACTTACATTGAATTGGCGCCGTAAGTGAACAAAGACATTCGTAGACTTCCAGTCCACATCTCCGTCGCCTTGGATCATACAGCGCAACAAGAAGGAAGCGTGTGTTCCGAAAACCTCAGCTGATTGCTGACGATCTTCACATCCGCCATATGAATGGTAGACATACTACCAACAAATGAAGGTTAGACGTCATGTCATCCCCAAGATGGCAGCACCGAGACACAGGGTGAGCTTACCTGTTCGCAAAGACTACGAAAGGAAGGGTTGATTTGTTTCTTCCCTTGCTGGTGTTTATCAACCAGGAAGTAAAGCATGTCAATGGCCTGGACCATGCGGTTGTATGTAGGCACGAAGCCTCTGGCGGGCAAACTGATGTCGTACCATCCCGCCTTACCGGCAACCCAAAGCTCGATACTTTTATCTTCGGTTTGACCGTAGGCATAGTGTGTAACGTCGTCGATAATCATGCGTTTCGGAAGCTCGTTGTCCTCGCGCACTAATGAGAAAGTGACCGTTCAGCAATCTGGTATGTAGACGCGCGTATAACGCCTCGTAACTCAATCAATACGCACCCAGATGTGTCTGGGACTTGGGAACCTGCTCCAGAACACCGATCACTTGCACTGGATTCTGCTCGCTAGCATCCAGTAGGTTCGCATAGAGCATCTTCCCCGGTTTCATGACCTTCACATCGGTCAGGCTGAATTCCCACCAATCATTCTCATCGGTGATGGAGGGATCGATGGGAAGGAGGACGGCTTCTTCGCGGGACGTCATGGTGGAATCGGCATGGCGGGGAACATGGAGATAGAGGTGGTTGGAAGGAGTTAGATTGAAAGAGCCGAGAAAATGAACAGTAGAAGAGAGACGTTAGAGGGGAGTCTCCAGGCTGTCAACAGTCGAGGTCATCGCTGGTATTACTCATACACGACTTACCGCGATTTATTACATACCATTCGTGTTGCCTGGCGTGTCAGGCAATAATCACGTGCATCCAATTTTAAGGTTCGAGAGGTCCACAGTCAAGTATAAACTCAGAATGAATATAAAAGGCAAACCTCCGAGATATATGAATGTGAGCTTAATTCCAATACGATACTCAACGAATGACTTCCAATTATGTGTGCAAATCTTGATCATCCGTCATAAACTCCCCATCTCACCTTAAGAACAACCCAACAAAGAAGCTCAATTCCGAGATGATAGAAAAGACGCTTGCATATTTCTGAAAGGATGTGCTAGATAGTGTCTACTCCTTGGAGTATTTTGTCGCAGGTGTCTCAGGCAGAAGCTGCACTACCTCTGGATTCGAGCTAAACTAAATATTATTCACAGTTACATCTTGAACCCAAAAGTTCTTCTCATGTCTACAATTCTGTCTTTTCGAGTGTCAATATAATCAGTAACCAAGAAGCGAACAAATTCTGCCTCAAGATGAAACTGACAGACATGCTGAGGTGATCCTTACCCTTAGTATACAAAAAGCTTCTTGCAATCCCTACTCCTCGAAAATGGGCAAAAAAGAGGTGAAAAAAAGAGAGGGCTAAAGGAGGGCGAGATAATGCATGAAACGGTATATCCACTTCAAGGCTCTCGCGTAGAGACTGTCCAATACTTCATCAGTGGCACTGTAACACAGTTATGATCTCTGTTGTATCAACCAATCTAGTACCCACAACGAACGTGAGATAGAGGTACATATTGCGATGGAAGATCCATCAACCGTGAATATTTAGCATTATGGCCCTCCTAGAATCTTTTGTGGCTAACGACATAAGGTAACTATATCTGTCTCTCATATAAGCCTACGAGGGAGGGATTTGGGCTCTTTCGGGGATAGAACAGCTTCTCAGTTACATGCTTTCATGGGTGCTGGAGACAAGAGAAACAGTTCGTCAGCTAATGATTTATCCGTTTTTCGGTTTATTCAATTATTCAATTGGAAAAGAAATTTATCGTTTGACTAGAAAGAAATGCTATCGGTGATTCTCGACCTCTATATCTCACCACAAATAGTGTGTGGACAATGGCGATGTAGCTCACTACGAATCAAGATATATTCGAGACACGCTCATCTGAATTATCCTCATGTCTATTTCTTGGGGGTATATATTCACACCCAAAAATACCTATAGGTTACCTTATAGAACATTGTATAAATTGGTAGTTGCTCTGATACGCCAAGGCGGGTCCAGATCACCAAAATATCTTTTCCCACCTTGGAACCACCACCTCCCAGATGCCATTCCCACCAGGTTTCCGATTATTCCGCACAACAATGTCCGGCGAGAAGATCCTAGAAGGTGTCTTTGGTAAGCTCCAATGCCATACGAACTCCCTTGAAGAGCCACCAATCTAACATCACCCCAAGCCGTCCACAAGCCGCAAGGCGTCACCTCCGCCGACGTGATCCGCACCCTCCAAAAACACTTCAACCCCTCGAAAACATTCCAGCCATGGCTAGAGGAAGAGCGCGCACGCCGCGAACGTGAAAGCAAATTCCAGCGCAAACGCCGCCGCCACCAGCGCCTAGACGTCAAGATTGGCCACGGCGGAACCCTAGACCCGCTCGCGACGGGTGTGCTCATAACCGGCATTGGAAAGGGCACGAAGTCGCTGCAGGATTTCCTGGCTTGCACGAAGAGCTATGAGACTGTTGTTGGCTTCGGCGCTGAGACGGATACCTACGACCGCCTTGGGAAAATTGTTCGCCGGGCCCCTTACGAACATGCCACCCGTGAAGCTGTTGAGAAGGCGCTTGCTCAATTCCGTGGGAAGATCATGCAACAGCCACCTATTTTCTCTGCACTGCGGGTTGATGGCAAGAAGCTCTATGAGTATGCGCGTGAGGGAAAAATGCCGCCTATTGAGATTAAGCATCGGCCTGTTGAGGTTCTGGAAATGGAGATTGTGGAGTGGTATGAGCCTGGCACGCATGAGTTCAAGTTCCCTGAGCAGGAGATGACCGGCGATGAGAAGATCGTTGCTGAGAAGCTACTTGATAAGGATGCTTCGGCGCCTGCCGCTCCATCGGCGGAGGGTGAGGTTGCCGGCCAAGAGGCTGAAGCTTCATCTTCTACCAAGCGCAAGTCACCGCCTCCTTCGGATGAGGTGAAGGAGGATAGCGCTGAAGCTAGCAAGAAGCAGAAGGTGTCGGAGACCGAGGCGGCACCTGCGGCGTCGGAGTCAGCTGCTGCTGAGCCTGCGGCGACGGAGACTCCTGCTGCATCTACGGAGCAGACGAAGACCCAGACCCCGGCTGTGAAGATTAAGATGACTGTCACTTCAGGCTTCTATGTCCGTTCGCTTGCACATGATCTGGGTAAAGCCGTCGGCAGCTCTGCGTACATGAGCGAATTGATTCGGAGTCGCCAGGGTGACTATGAGCTTGACCCTGAGAAGGTTCTGGAGTATAAGGACCTCGAGGCTGGCGAGGAAGTCTGGGGACCCAAGGTTGCCAAGTTCTTAGGCGAGTGGGAGGAGAAGAGAGCCAACAATGCCGAGGCTGTGGCTGCTCAGCAATAGACTTGAGGCAGAGCCTTGAGGAAAATTAAAGATCCTGTACATATACTGCCATCTGTATTATATCAATGCAATGACTCAACTGTCTCTTGAATTGTAGCTTGGGGATTGAGCTGCGTCACTTTGCCATGCAAAGGAATTATACGCAGCGAGTCCAATTCCAGGTCTAAAGAGCGACAGACAATACGTATAACTCTTGCTTCACAAGGCATGGAAATAATAAATCAAAATTGCCATTTTTGGTTATCCAGACCCAGAGAAAAAGAAATAATTACAGGATGCAAGTACAAATGCAGTCAACAAAAGCCCTTAGTTGCGACCCTTCGCAGCGTGTCTCTTACTCTTACCAGGGCGCTTCGCACCACCCTTCATCTTCTTAGCAGAGAACTTGGACAGGTCACCGCTGGAGGTAGCATCGCCACTCTTAGCATGGCGCTTCTTGCCACCGAATCCGAACTTGGCATCCTTCTTCTGGCGCTTAGAGCTGCGAGTGCCGCCCTCGCCATTGCCACGCTTCTCGGACTGAGCAACCTCGTCAATGGCAACATCGAACATGTCGTTAGCGTCATCGGTAGGAGCAGAGCTGTCAGCCTTGCGCTCTGTGAGAAAGTAGGTTAGTAATTGGGACTGTTACATAGGTATATAAGGGGGACGTACTCTTCTTGAGGGTATTGATCTTCTCCAACATCTCGCGCTTCTCCTTGTGTCTCTGCTGCAGCTTGGCATTCTGGACCTGCTTGCCGAACTTCTTCAGATCACGCTGGCGACGAGCCTCGGCGGCAGCCTTCTTGCCGGCAGCCTCCTCGTACAGCTTCTTCTTGATCTTGCCCATGTGCTCGTCGTCCTTGACCATCTCTGCGAAGTAATCGCCCGGCCGTGTGAAGGGAATGCCTTCCTTCTTGAGCAGGCCACGGGCAGTGGTAGCGGCAGCCTGACAGACCTTGTAGAAGGCCAACTCGCGGTTCAGATCGTCATTGGGGTCTTCGATATCGATGGGCTCTTGCGACACTAGCGAGTTGTGCTCCGAGAATGGTGTCTGCGCGGAGATGAAAGAGATGCGCTTGAGGGAGGATTTGATGGCGGCAGTGTTGTTGATTGTAAGGCGTTGGTGAGGGACGACGTCCTCGCGCTCGTCTTCTTCGAGGTCAGAAAGGGGGATGTCTTCTTCGGCTTCCTCGTCTTCCATTTCCTCATCCTCGTCGGCTTCTTCCTCTTCTTCCTCCTCCTCCTCCTCCTCGGCCTCGGAGCTCTCAGCCTCTTCCTGCTCTCCCTTCTCTTCGGAAACCTTGTCTTCGGGGGCGGCAGCAGCCTTCTTACCGGCCTTCTTCTTCTCGGCGGTCTTGATCATTTTCTTCTGCTTTTCGGCCTCGTAGTCCCGACCCTTGTGGGCGTCGAGGGCCTGCAGGAGCTTGCTGCGTTTAACCATTGTGTCTTTTTGTGGGAAAACAAAAAGAAAATGGTATTTGGGGAATGGGAAAGGAATTGACAAGAGAGGAAACGAGTCGGTATCAAACCCGCATCAGAGTCCACGGGATTTTTTTAAAATCGCGCCAGTCCTAAATGGGTTAGCGTTTCCCGATAAGAGTCCGCTAGTCCATATGTGGTAATATACCGGGAATACTGTTGATCCGGTGGCTTATCGAGTCCTACAACTCTCCATGGCTCACTACAGTACTAAAATCATAGGCCATATGTTCTTTCACACTCCTACATGATTAACCCACCATCTTTAAACAACTACAACCCGAGGCACTTGATAACGGGTGAAAAAGATGTGAAAAAAGAGAGGCCAAAGTAGGGCGAAAACGGAGGCTGATCCTCGAAGAGTGGAAGAATCAGCCCGAATACAATAGGTCCAATAGCCCATAAAACCTGCAGTACAAATGAGATCAATGCAATGTATGCGTGGAATACACTATCCACCTCTCCATATCCTCTTTCTTCACGTCATCTTCTCTCTCTATATTAGATCTTGCGCTGTTGGATATGAGGATAGTAAAGTAGAACATTCAACCCCATATTTCCTTCAAGTTAAGTAAAGTAGCTGTGTCTTAATAGGTAATCTCCTAATAGTATACTCACTATAGCTCTCTAGAGAAAGGCTGATCTAGTGCGTAATAGGAAGGCGGTAGATACATTGCCAGTGGGAGCCTGGAGCCCTCATCTCCCGAGGTCTACTTGCCTCAAGCAGTCTGTCCTAGTTGTACATAGTCCACAATGGCCGAAGATCCCAAGTCTCCCTCTCCAGAGAAGCTCTCCCCAGCACCAGAGGGCGAGTCTCTTCTGTCTCAACCGGTATGTAACATCCGGGAATTGCATCCACTGTTCGCCTTACTAAACAAGTGACCTTCCAGAACTCTGATGCCCAGGGCCAGCTTACCG